TGCTGGGCTTGTCCCAATGAGCCCCGAAATTGTGGTTTCAAAGCTGGATGTGAAGCTACGGACACCGACGCCCGTCGAGGGGGTCCCCGATACATCAGAACCTTGGGTCTCCCAAACGCCTCACAACCCGATTGAAGCTAGCTGTCAGTCAGAGTTTATTAAAGGTCGAATCGCCCGACACCAAGGAAGCTCTCCGACGTCGATTCTTAACGCTATAGACCACTTTACCAAGGGGACGCGTGGAATCATGCATCAACTCGCCCTATTGAAGTCGGAGAACCAGATCCTTCGAGACGAGAACGCGACACTCAGCAAGCGTCGGAGAGCTAAGAAAACACGTCTCAGGCAAGGAGGGAGTCTAACTCTAGGTGAGGGACAGGAGATACAAACCAATATCGAGGTTCAGGTCCAGATAAATGAGGAAACGCGTCAGAGAAGCAGTCGCCAACCAAGGGACGGGACGAAGAAACGGCGCTGCGGTGTCTGCGGCGAGCCTGGACATAATGCGCGGACTTGTCAGCTGGAGACGAGGGCTTCTGAAGAAGAGGATTTCAAGTAGTTTCAATTGATTTAAGGCGTTAGGGTTCACCGGGATGCTGCTGTCGTCGCATGGTCGTGGTCAGGTGGCCCACTTGCTTGTTTGGCCCACTTGCTTATCATGCACGTTATCGAATTCGCTATTTTTATTATAAATAATAAAGACGATAAATAAGCTAATAGAGGCTTTAAAATAATAAATAAACCTTTTAATATAAAAATAGGTCTCCTATTTAATCTTAATCTTTATAAAGTAGATCTAATAAAAGCTATTATAGCGATTAATAATATAGAAAGTATAATAAAAACTATCCTTAAGATTTAAGGGCTTATAATTAATAAGATCTATAAAGACTTTATAGCTAAGGGCTAAAGATAGATAGGTAATAGAGCGATTTACGACCTTAATACTCTTAGCTAAGCGATAAGCCTTATAATTAAAGTTATATATTTCTTAATAATCGAAGAGGATATTAATTTTTATATAAATATCGATAATACGTTATTTTCTAATATAAAGAAGGCGTTTATATATAATATAGAAAGGAGTTACTTTCTTAGACTTTATTATAATAATAATTATATTATAAATAATCTTAATAAGAAGGTTAATAAAAGTAAGAGTCGATATTATTATAATACCCTATTCTTAAGTAATTCTTATTAATTAAATAGCGTTAATAGTATATACTATAGACTTAGTACGGAAATTATATTTAATCCCTAAACGACTAAGAAGGCCTAGTAATAATAAGTTTATAAGGCTTCTAGGGAAATATCTAATATTATAAATAATCTAATCGATAGCTTTAATAGGATCTATAAAGTCCTAGACTTAGAAGAATATACTCCTAATATTAAAGGGCTTAATAGCTTAACTATTAGCTATATTAATCTTAAGAAGTAAAGTATTCTTAATATATATTAAGAATTAAGTAAGGTTATTAAATATATTAATATTATTATTTAAATTAAGGATAATTATATCTTAATTATAAATCGTAGCTATTAAAGAAGTATAATAAAATATTACTAAATAAATAATAGAATCTTAATAAATAATATTAAAGGAAGTAATAATAATTTACTTATTAATATTATTAGAAGAACTTTAATAAGAGGTATTATAATAATAAACCTTAGCGGCCTTAATAGCTTTATTACGGAACTTACTAAACTACTTCGATAATATATTCTTTTTAAAAAGGAAATAAATAAAGGGGATATAATTAAATAATTCCTTATTTTCCTTAAAATAATAAAAGTAAATAAAATACTTTTTATTAATAATAGAAATAATAATAAATATAGAATTACCTTTTTTCTAGCTTTAATTATTAATATTTTATATAATAACTATAGAATTAAAAATAGATTCTTAATTATTAGCTTTATAAATAATATTAACTATAATATTATATTAATTATAAACCTTTATTATAATATATTTCTCGAATAATATAAAATATTAATTATAAATATTATTAAAGAATATATAAATAAATATAAATAAATTAATATTATAGATCTCTATAAGATAGTATTAGAGGGTTTAAGTATAAGCTAAATAGATATAAAAGATTAGAAAATCTTTAGTTTTAATCTTATAGAATTTATAGATAAGATCTATAATAATATCTAATAAGACTTTAGGAATTATTCGATAGATTATATCCTATAGCTTATAAAGGTCTTAATCTCTTATATCCTAATCTCCGCCCTTAAAGTAATCGAGGAGGGTAGGATTAATAATAATAGAAAGAGTACTTATTACTATTACCCTCTTCTTATATTATACCTCTAAGGCGTTAGGGTTAATAAGAGGTAGGATTATTAAGTAAAGAAATTAAAAATAATAATCTCGTTTAAGTAGATTAATAACGTTAAATTATTAAAAATAGAGGTTCGATTCGTTAATTAAGTAGTCGATATAGGTAAAGAGCTAAGGACGAGCTATTATAGCTTAATATCGTTAAATAGCTTAATAAGAATAACGTTTATCGTAAAGGAGTAAATCTTACTTAAAATAGATAATAATAATATTATTAAATAGAGGAAATAAAGCTATTAATAATAATATAAAAATCGTAATATTAACGATACTATATAGTACGTAAAAGGGCGTATAACCTATTAGAGGTCTATAGAGGAAAAAGGTATTATATTAGGAAGCTATTCTCTAGGGTAGGAGGGTGCCTAGAACTAAGCTATAGGAGGGAGGTGCCAGGGCACAGGCCACCTAGCATCAGGTGACCGCTGGAAGCCCCAGGCGAATACCACCAACAGTTTGTCGCCCGCGCGGTTGATGTGTAATCAGGGGCGCTACATGTACAGTGGACTGACTCGACGGGCCAGGCCTGAATCCGTGCCGGCATCCGTTTGCTGACGAGATGAGGAGCTAATTAGAGGTTCGCATTTCCGGGGAACTTGAACTAAGATCCCTTATTAGGTCAGCTCCCGCGCGGCTATGACATGGTGCCTAGGCACATGGGGTACTCACCTAACAGGTAGCTAGGGAGGTGCCTTGTGGAAAAGCAAGCCAGGTGCCACAGCACAGCAAATAGTGCCATTCCGAGGTAGTTGCTGAAGGTTCCGAAACCAAATGGCGCCTTATTCGAATTCGTAGTGTATCATCGGCAAATCGAGTCGGATCGTGAACCGAACGAGGGGCACCGACACTGTATCGCGCCATACTTATTCCGCGTCTCAGCCTTGCCACACCTGCCTGTCTTACCAAGCTGGATTCATCGTGGGGTGTGCAGACATCCTTTAAGTGCCCCAAGATCCCCCCCTTCAACGCTTCCCTCAACACTTGGCCATGCATCTCCGACAGCTCGTCAAACCTGCCAAATACCTTGTCGCTTCATATCTCATGTTCGCAACAGCCCGACATTTCTTGTCACGCACTTTTTCATCAACCTCTCACACAACATCACCGACCATGACACGCGGCGCCGTGATCTGCATCTCCCACGGCGGAGGTATGTTCAAGCGCCTTCCCCTACCATATTGCTCGCAAGTGAGAGCGCACCGCCGCTGACACAACACCAGGTCCTATGCCGGTCCTCGGCGACCCGGGCCACAAAGACATTGTCTCGTCGCTCACGAAGCGCGTGCCGAAGCTCCTGCGCCTCAACACGCCCGAAGCACCGCGCGCCATCGTCGTCGTAACGGCGCACTGGTCGACGAGGAGGCCGACCATCTCGTCGGCGACGCACCACGACCTCTACTACGACTACGGCGGCTTCCCCAGCGAGGCCTACTCGCTAAAGTACCCGGCGCCCGGGTCGCCCGACGTGGCGGAGGAGGTGCGGCGGGCGCTCGCGCAGCAGGGTCTCGACCCCGTGCTCGACGCCAAGCGCGGCTGGGACCACGGCGTCTTCATCCCCTTCTTGCTCATCAACCCGGCGGCCGACGTGCCGATTGTGCAGCTTTCCGTGCTGGCGTCCGAGTCGGAGGAGGAGCACCGCCGCATGGGCCTCGCGCTGGCGAGTCTGCGCGACTCCAACGTGGCCATTGTCGGGTCGGGGTTTGCGTCATTGCACAATATGCGCAAGTTTGGCGAGCTCCGGGCCGGCGCCGGCGGATCGAGGCTCCGAAGCCAGGTCAAGGAGTGGAACGCTGTCTTGTCCGCCGCGATCGAAACGGAGAAGAGCGAGGAGAGGGGCAAGAAGCTCGCTGGATGGAGGGGATTCCCACACAGTTTTGACATGCACCCGAGCGGCGGCGGCGAGCACTTTATGCCCCTGCTTGTGTGCTCGGGGGCAGCCGGCGACGAGGCCGCGGGCAAGTACAAGGATGACTTTTTGGGAGCCGATATCTGGACCTACTATTGGGGGGAACCGCGTGTTTGAGCAAGCTTCAGGAGCGGACAAGCATCATAGCGAGCAGAATGTAGATGAGCGAATGACATGAAGCTAAACCCGCGGAACGAACACTTGTTGATTGGCTGCGTGTTGAATCCGATGCTAGCGTCGCACCACTCGCATGCGACGTATTCTCTGGGTTCCTATTGGATCCGCTTTGGAGCCGGGCCGGAGCTTGCGCCACTGGCGAACCCAGCCTCAGTTCCGCCCATGCCCCGGCCTGCTTTGCTCAAGTACGAGACAGTCCCTTTTTATCAAGACGGCGACTGCAGGACAGTTCACGTGGACGGGTTCCTCTCGCATCTCGGTTTCCTCGGTTTTCAACGCCACATGCGCTCGCTTGTCTCTTGTTGCTCCCAGTTATTCATTCTCAAGTCCCTTTGCAGACAGTACCTCACATGGCTCCACATTGAGGACACCGGAAGTCCCGTCATGGGTGCCTCGAGTGCAAACGAAGGCATGTCAAGGTATGACACTATCCAGCAGCCCTCAATCCGACTTCCCTAACACCTATAGTGCGACGAGACACATCCTATATGCTTGAACTGCGTCAACACCAGGCGACCATGTTCGTTCCAAGCCCTGACCCCGAGTACCATGGCCGGGCCCAGCCCGGGCCCCTCCTTCACCTCGGCCGGCCCGTCGCCGGGCGCTACAAACCTCTTGCTTGATGTCCCGAACTTACACGCTGTGCCGCCCGCCTGCATGGACCGGTTGCATTTAATGCACCATTTTCTTTCTGGCGCTATTCCTGTTCATGACAAGATGCCCACACACCAGCATTTCGTCGAGCAGGCTCTTGACCTTCCTTACCTCATGAACGAGATCCTCGCTTATTCAGCGCGACACCTAGGCTCAACACGCCCAGACGAGGCCTCTCAGTACATCTTCCTTGCGCGTGAGTACCAGGCCCACGCCTTGACTTTTTCAACACGACCCAAGTCGAGACGACCGCCGACAATGCCATGCAGATGCTTGTCTTCAGCTGGATGGTCGGCATGAATCTCCTCTGCGACGCCGCCTGCGCCGATGATGATGCCACTGTGCTTGACGAATTCATTCGATACATAGAGCTCTACCGTGGTGTCCGCGTCATCGCGTCAGCGGCGTGGGACGTACTCATTAAGTCGAATCACGCCTCCGTTTTTGAGGACGGGCGGCTCATCTTCATGAAGCTCGGCACAGGCGCCGAGGCCGAGGCCCTGCAGGGCTTGATCAAGGACAGTCTCGGCATGGACGATGAGCAGAAACAGGGCAGCCAGGAGACCCTTGCGAGGATCCAGGCCACCTATGACTCTCACTCGTCCCTAGACGCAGGCCCAAGAGACTCATCGCTGCCTGTCTCGCCCAGTGGTCATCTCAGCGACACGATCGGCATGGCTCTCGCTTGGCCGCAGGTGGTGACTCCGGGTTTCCTTACCTCACTGCGGGCGAAGCGACCCGAATCGCTATTCGTTCTGGCCCACTCTGCCGTCATCATGCACTGGTGCCAGGGGCACTGGATCGTAGGGCGTGTCGGCAGTCGGCTGCTGCGTAGCATTGTGGCGGCCCTGGGGCCGGGATGGGAGAGGTGGCTGCAGTGGCCTCGGGACCTTATTGAGTCGACTGCGTCCGAACAGTCTGTCGCCGCGGATCAGCCTACTTGAAATACTGAGAAATCCGTCCAGGTTCAGGGGTGTCCAACTCGATCCGGTAAACGGCCAGATGAGGCTGGACTCGGCGCCGAACTCTCAGCCCTACCGGCCCTCGGCCTCGGACGCTATACTTGCGCCGGTGCCGAAGAGGCACATCCACACCTGTAGGCAATGACGGCCTTCCTCGACCTTGTTCTCCAATTCCGCACTTGCGACCGATACGTCCGAGTCCTTGATGCCACACGGCGTGCTGACGGTCAGGGTTTGCCATCAAAGTCCACGCATTGCAGTTGGTTCCTGCCCCCACCTAGCTGCCGTCAATTCCTGGGAAGTGTTTCGAGGATCGGCCACAGGCTACATCTGTTTAAATACGAGCCGTCGCCATGCTCGAATTCACAGCAACCTGGAGTCAACCAAGGCTATCGCACTTTACACCACTCGCGCCATGTCACAACCAGCTGCTGACCTGCCTCATGCCGCCTGCACGGCCGAAAAGAACCACGGCATTCTTGTTCCCAATGATTACGTCTCTGACGCACCGTCCACAATCAATCCAAACATAATGGACAAGGAAAAGGGGGCCGTTTATCCGGGTAGTGACGCTCCGGACGGGGGCTTAGCTGCGTGGCTCGTCGTGCTCGGCGTGTGGTGCACCGCCTTTTGCAGTTTTGGCTGGATCAACAGTACGGACACATCCTCTTCCAAAGTCAAATGAAGACCTCGATACTAACTCCAACAGGCGTCGGCGCTTTCCAGGAGTACTATCAAAATGACCTCCTTCGTCAATACTCTCCTAGCACCATATCATGGATCCCTTCTCTCCAGATCTTCTTCATGACGGCGACAGGGCCGATATTGGGCAAAGTATACGACATACATGGCCCGCGCCAACTTGTTTTGATCGGTAGTTTTCTACACGTATTTGGTCTCATGATGGCCTCACTATGCAAGGAGTACTATCAAATTCTACTTGCGCAGGGCGTTTGCTCCGCAATTGGCGTTTCTGCTATCTTCCAGCCATCCATCGCCGTAATACACGGCTGGTTCAATATCAATCGCGGCGCCGCTTTTGGCATTCTTTCCACCGGCTCCAGCATTGGCGGTGTTGTTTTCCCGATTATGGTCACGCGGCTGATCCGACAAGTCGGTTTCGCTTGGGCGATGCGTATCAGCGCTTTTCTCATCCTTGCTTTGCTCATCATTGCCAACCTTACGGTCCGCGCATTCCACCCACAGACACCTCAGAAGACCACCAAAGCGCAGCTGCTCAGGCCGTTCCGCGAGCTCGAATTTGTCCTCATCACGCTCGGCTTTACGGTTTTCACCTACGGCATCTACGTGCCCATCAATTTCCTTCCCGTACAAGCGCTCGAAGCCGGCATGGACCCAAATCTTGTGCAGTACCTCATTCCCATTCTCAATGCCGCCTCCCTCTTCGGTCGTATTTTTTCTGGCTTCCTCGGCGACAAGATCGGCCGTCTCAACATATTCGTCATAGTCTGCTACCTCACTGGCCTCTGGATTCTTGCCCTCTGGATCCCCGCCGCCACCGATGGCGCCCTCATCGCCTTTGCTATACTCTTCGGCTTCTGTTCGGGCGCCTATGTCTCGCTCATCGGGCCCCTCGTCGCTCAGGTATCGCCTCTGTCCGAAATCGGCTTCCGCACTGGCCTTGTTTTCTTTGCGTCCTCCATTGGCGGTCTGACCACGAATCCGATCAACGGTGCCATTATCGACTCGCCTCATGGGCTCCTGGGCATGAAGATCTTTGCAGGTGTCTTCTGTATGATCGGGACTACCTTTATTCTGGCTGCCAGGATCCATCGCACTGGATGGAAACTGCTCGTCGTATTCTGAGGGGGATAGGAAAGCACAGGGACTGAGGCGTACGGAATCGTGCATATTAATAAAAAAGGGCTTGAGCAACATAGACTCATGGGTACTCCTCCCTGCTGTGTATGTAATTAATGACAAGGATTCCTCTCTGTATAAATTGGTCAAACCCCAAATTTGAGAGTGTTCTCCATCTGAAAATCCTTCATCAATGTCGTCCAGTCTGGTAGAACCTGCAGGTCGTCTACCCAGTCGAAATTGCCCATCTGCGTGAAGACGCCCATGGCATCCATTCCACCCGGCGTCGCCACCAGTGTCTGATCCTGTGCCCTCGGGGCTCCGCTGGCCGCCGTCTCACCGGCCCTCCTTGCGAAGGCTTTCTCCTTCAGCACTGTGAGGACAGCCCATCGCGAGCCCAGATCCCCAGCGCCGACGCACCCCGCTCGTGTGGCTTCCGTGTCGCCGAACACCGTCTCCACCACCTGCCAGATGCGGTCTCGGTTCGGCCCATCTGGGCACACGCACAAGTGCCACAGTACATACAGCAGCATGTGATTTTGCGGGTACAGGCGCGTTGACCATTGCCAGGGCCTCAGCCGATCGTCGGTCATCATGGTGGTGCCGAGTTCGAGTATCTCCACAGCCTCGAGGAGATTTTCCTCCGTGGCGAAAGCCTCGTGGGTGCCGGGCTGCGCATGCATCTGCATCCGCTGCCGCGTGACGAGCTCCAGCTTGCGAAGAACAAAATCGGCGATGTGCATGGTCAGTCGTTGTTGTGGGATCACGGGGTTGCAGCGACTGAGGTATCCCTTTGCGCGTGCTCTGATGTCCTGGATGACCTGGCTGCGAGTGCCATCACTGGAGGTTGGGGTTGACTGGGCGTTTTCGTGCCATCCGAGCACTGTCGCGATGGTGATTAAAGAGAGCGTCATGGAGGTCCAGCCGGGACGGTTCGGCGGAAGCTCGTCCATTTCGGGGTAAAGATCACTGTCGTGGACGTTGAGCGGCATGTCGATACCGGCGGCACACCCAGGGGTCATTCGCCGCATGTTCTCGAGACCATAGTCTTCTGCAGCTCGACCATCTCGGCAGACTATGTACCACCAGAGCCTCCGCCTGATTTCAGATTCGAAGGGCGACAGGCCCAACATTTTACCGTCGCGGTGCAGGCCGATGGACTGGGCGGCACGGATCACGAAACCCACGATCGTCCAGATCCCTCTGCCGGGGTTGTGAACCCGGAGCGCAGACGGTGAGATTGTTAGTCGAATTAGGCATATGGAGAGGCGACGGCGTAGACATACCAAGTATATCGCGAGTGCCTGTATAGTGGTGACAGTGGGACTTTCAAGAAAGTCGGCGTGGGCAATAGCCTGCTCGAGGCCAGTCTTCAAGAGCTGCAGACTTGCGACGGGGTTATCGCCAAGTACACTAACAGCTTCGTCTTGCTCGTATACCGTGGCGGCAGCAAAGAAAATGGCAAAACATAAAGCCAACATTCCTGGACTGCACTCGCTCGGCTTGTCAATAACCGTGTATACGAGAACCTCGGCAGTTGGTATGTGAAGGACTTTGGTGCAGGGCTCGACCTTGTCAACGTAGGCCTTCCAAAGCTGTGTGGCCACCGTTTTGTTTGGGAGGAAGCTTGATAATGGCCGTGAATACGAAGGAACCGAAAGTATACCCATGGGATTGAATTGAGGCACCGATACTGGCCGTGTGGCCTCACTGACCGGTGTCGATAGGACCGTTTGGATATCCTGCTCCTATTTAGAAAGTCAGCACGAAACTTGATCGGTTGTCAAGGTCCTTCGCACCTCGTCGAGAACTCGTGATATCAATATCTCGTTGAAATATTGACTCGATGATCCTTTCTGAACGAGGACACCTGGGCCTCCGTCTTGCCCACTGCTCGACACAGGATTCGGGCCCTCTGGCCCGAACGTGTCACATGGTTTCGACCGGGAGGTGACTGTATCTGCCGGTGCGGTCTGGTTCGATACGGAGACGAGAGTGCGCTCCAGCTCCGAGATGCGGGTGGCCACATCAGCCATGGTTGTCTTGGGCTTACGGGCCCGACGTAGGTGCTCAGCATGTGGGTACAAACAGGTGACGCCCCCACGTTTGCAATGGGAGCATGGCTGCTGCTTGTCACAACGTATCTTGCGGCGGTGACATATCTCGCAGGACCGCTGTACCCTCCGGAGTTGTGCTGGGGCCGGGGCATCCAGACGGGTGCCGTCGGCATCGGAGCGATTGAGGTCCGGCGGCCGGCTTGGCAAATTCGCATCCGTCGAGTCTCGGGGGATCTGCGGCGGTCTCATTTCCTCATATGGCATACGCCGTGCAATTGATTACTGATGACAATGAGCACTGATACATGCAACGCCTTCTTGGCGAGCGAAATCGTCGGGGGGTCGTCGACATCATGTTCGGCCTCGGTGATTATTTTAACACCGAGACCGAAGTCAAACTGACCAGACTTGCTGAGTCATTGATACGAATACTTCTAGCGAAAAGATGACTGGTTCAGTCCGGCACGTCCCAACCGTCGAGCTTTTTTGCTAACAGCTCCCAAGTATGCCTCCTAGAATGGGAAGCCCACAAATGATGCCTCCAAGCCCGGTTGAACCTAGGAGCTTCTTCCAGATGGTGTCATTCAAGACACATCCGATTCCACCCAGGACGCAATCTTTGCCCAGAACTTCGAGAGCCTCACCAATCGTGGCGAACAAGTCATCAAGAATATTTTCGACAGCTCCAACAGTCCCGTCGAGACCAGGGACGAGACATTGCAGGATATTCAGCCCATTATCTTCGCAGAGGTTGTTGTTCTCGTCTGAATCCCAGACCATCAGCGAGATGAAGCTTCGTGAAGGCCGAAGAGGGGTGGGGGAACTGACCATAGTTGCAGTATTCCTTCGGAGTCTTCGCACAGATAGGACTTCCACCTTTGGCCTTGCATTTCTGCGCCGACTCTTTCGGCAGGCACGGGCTTTTGCACCTTTTGTCCTTCTCAATCCATGTTTGGCCCGCGGGGCACTTGAGCTTCTTTTTGCACTCCTCCTGAATCTGCTTCTTCAGCTGCGTTTTGCTAATGCTGTTTACTACGGCCAAGACGACGTTCTGTGTGTTGTTTAGGCAGAGATCATTGTCCTTGTCTAATGGATTTAGCCGGTTGACTGCATCGCAAAAGGGTTGTAACAAAAGAGCATACCGTAGTCGCAGTATATCGTCGAGTCAGCTGCGCAGATAATTTTCTGTCCAACTCGTAGGATCGGCGGGATGAGTGGAGGCGAGATGCATCTGCCCCTGTTTTCGTCCCAACCCAGACTCTTCGGACATTTGCATTGGGGCAGGATACCAAAAGGCTTGTCCAGCCAGCCAACAAACACTCGTCCACCCGTACAGAGACTCGAGGTGGGATTGGCAGTGGCTGCCGTGGTTCGAGCGACAGGGTGCGCCGTCAACGGCGAGGCAGCCACTGTAACGGCCAGGGTCAGCTCGACGAGGATCGTGATGCGCATTTTGTAATTATAGCGGCGATGAATTTGTTCAAAAACGGTTGAAGGAAGAGTACTCGGTTGACATTCCGTTGCTGCGCGAAACAAACAGCTTTGGCAGACATCACAACTCTTATAACACTGAACGGGTGGCTGAAGAAGCAAGTCTGGCACGTGGTGGTCAAACTAGATGTCCGCTTTTAAATTCGGGCAAGCCGAGTCGAGGAAAGACACCAGAAGCTGTTCATGTTACAAGCTGAGATGTAAACCCCTTGGTGTTGCTCACTGTACTACAGCCATGTGAGTAACAACAGATGTGCGGTACGGCCGTCGTAGACGTGTGCCGTTGGTGTGAGAGGCCTCGTTCAAAGCTCGCCTTGAAGAGAGAATGAAGTCTCACATTCTGTTGTCGCAGCCGCCGGGAGTCTTGCCAAGACAGTCCTAAGTAAGCCTGGGCTGGAGCCAGTACAACAGCTTGATAGCTAGCCAGTGGGAGCCAAGACAATGGCCCTCATAGTTTGGACAACATGTCCACGCTAGTGGCTCGTGTGAGTGAAGCAAATACAAAGCTGATGCATGCGTCGTTGATGTACAGGACATGAAGTCAGGATGTGCAAGGCACAGAGTGCAAGGCACAGACTATTTGTCTTCGAAGACTTTGACCTCTGGCGGCTTAGAGCGAAGACCTAATATTTACCAACAAGATTCGGAAAAATGGGTTTGGGTATAGGCTGTCAACCTCGCGCTGCAACCGCCGAAGTCCGCGCCCTAGTGGAAGAAACCCCTGTGTGAACGTTAGAGATACCATGTAGTCAGGGTATAGGTACCATGTTGAATCTCCTTTCCATATTTCACAACCCCTGAAAATGCTGCGTCTAGTCATGTCTCTTGCAGGTCACGCCAAGCCGCACAGGAGGAGCACCACATGGACCAGATTCCTCTACCTGGGTGCCTAGTTGTCCACCCAGGAGCTGGTATTCTGGTCAAGCGGCATGCGTAATCTTACCCCTGAATGGAACAATCCCAGCGCCTCTCCCGCAGCGAGCCGGCGCTTGCCAGATGGGCGTCAGCACCGAGAATGCACAATGCTGTCCAACACCCAAGGGTCGTCACACGAGGGCCGGAGAGCCCTGATTAAGAGTCTCAGACATATCGCCCTTGTGGGTTCACAAGAAGGCCATGCCGACGGCATTGTCAGTCCCCCCACACGGCGAAGGAATCTATCTTCGACTACGATGGGGACGGCCAAGGCTCGAGGTTGTACGGTACTGAAACCGACCCAAGAAAGCCTGATGGCTGGCGTCCGGAGAGGGGGAGGGGGAGGAATCACTTGCTTTCATCTGCCGCCGGGCGCCATCACGATCATGCAACTCCGCATCTAAGGGGTCTCGGCGGACTTGGAGAGCTTAGGGGGTGGGGGTCCCCAGCCAAGCACATTCAAGCAATATCGGGGATGAACACGGCTCCTGTCGTCGGGGCATTCAACGTCCCTCCCTCCTCTCTCAAATAAAGCACCTGAAAGCGAGAAAGCCGGGCCGGACTGCGTACCACGGCCAGCAGCTCGGACCCGCGAAAGGGGCAGAGGACGAACAATCAAGGCCAAACAGGCCGTGGCGTGTAATGGAACGCGATGGGGCGGTCAATTGGTCGATATATCGGTCGCTGACATGAGAGGAAGAGTAGTAGGGGACCCATGTCTTGTCATGGCAGGGGGCTAGGATCGGGGGACAGGGTGTTGGTCCAAGTTGGGGACAGGTTTCCGATATAAACGAGGGACCACAATCTGCAGGGTGCGCAGAAGCGAGAACGAGAAAAGGGGGAGTAATCAAGAGTATTGGGGGAAGAGACTTCCAGAAGAGACAGCAAAGCCGTTGAGCCTTTGAGTCGAAGGCTTAGAGTCAGAGGGTTTGAGGCGAAGACTTTTAGTCGAAGGCTGAAAGGAGGAGAGGTTGTGGCTGGCAGTGTGGCTGGCAGCAGAAAATAAGGTAAGCACCAATTAATTAGGCCTCACGCTGCTGCAAGATTGGTCGTCGAAGCTCGGGCTTGACAGGCACTGGCTCGTGGTAGCGGGTCGTTCAATCACACCTCCGATCTCTGGGCCGCTGGGTGCTGAGAGCACAGACGGTTGTTCGTCTCGAGTAGATCGATGGGTCGTGTTTGCGGTGAACGGGGGAATCGCTACGAGGATTGTCGATGACGACGATCATGGCTGTGCATTGGATGTACAAGTACTGTGTGGCTGGACATCTGCTAAAATTCAGCTGGACAGATCCAGAATGTCGCCGTACCTTACCAGTATGATACATGTTTCCCGAAGCTCAACTCAAGTGTTGACGATGTTGAATCCAAGCCCGCCGTAGCGTGAAGCGAGCGACAATCAAGATCGATTGGCATTGTGACCACGATGCTTGTTAGCTGACCTCAAAGAATACAGACAGACGTCACTCATGATCACGTCGACAGGTGTCATCCCATCGCCAACGCCCTGATTGGGGCAAGACAGGCATCCCAGGTGGAAAAGGAAGATTTCGTGGCGGGCAGTAATCTTCCTGAGGGACTTGGTGCATGAAGGTTGTTGACCTGAAACCGCAAGCTGGGGTCGGATCTTTGCGAGGGGTCATGGATATGGCGCATCTTAAGGGGATGTGTGGTAGGGGGTGCTTGGAAAGCTGTGCAGGAGCTTGAGGAGGTGCAGGGGGTGCAGGAGATGCACAGGGGCGCAAAAGCCTGGACTGCGCGCTAACGCACGGCGGCGCGGCTGTCGCTCTGGCCCAGGAGGGCGATGGCGGTCAGGAGCACCTGCCAGAAAGGCGACCCCGGCCATCGGAAACCCACACAGCCCCTGTAAATACCGGCTCCAGCGTGGAGTCTTGCTTTTCTGCCAGTCGTCGTTTCAGATTCCGTCCCATGTTGCTGGAGGCAGGAGATGGTGGACACGAGGGAAAAAGCGACGTCCATCAAGCTCAGGCACCACAGCGAAATTTCCTCGCTTATGTGGTACCTACTGTGCCTACCTGGGTACCTAGCAAGCCTAGGTACCACCTACTGTGCCCTCTCCATGTACCTGCTGCCTCACCATGCTCGCTTCCTCGGTTGGCGCCGAACAGCCAGCCATCCACTCGATCGCTACCCTGTGCCTGCTGTGCCTGCTGCGCCTGGCGCCGCCAAGATGAGCCTCATCACCCGTTTTCCATTTTGCCATCGCCTGCAGAGAGGACCCCTGCCCTTCATCCCAGCGGGAGGGGGGGAAAGCCACACGGATTAATGAGACGTTGGTGGCCGGCGCCTGCAATCTCGACCACCGTCCATCTCCACCACAGTCCAGACTCTGTCCTCGCCTGGCCTCCCACATCATCAACGGTCAAGGTAGCTACATGGTACCTAGGCAGTGTAGATACCTGACCAGCGATGACCATGCTTGCTCAATTCCTGGTTACGGCTAGTCTCTTCCGCCGGGGGCACAGCGTTGTCGACATGGGCCCTCTCGCCTCGCTGACCTGAAGCCATTTGATATAAAGCCTCGTCCTGCCAGCGAATCTCTTGCTACTGTCTTTTTCTCTCTCCTCTCCTCATCCTCGCTTCCAGTGTTGTTTGTTCACTCTTTTTTCCAAAAAACTTCCCAGTCTCTCTCTTTTTGGCTGTGCCATTCTTTTGAAACTCACCGAACTCGACGTTCGCCAACCCACGCTCTCTACGCAGATACACTTGCAACCACATACTTTTCACTTCAACCAACCAGTACAAACAACCTTACCAACCCGATCTTCATATCAGACCATTCAAAATGCGTTTCACCGTTGCCTCCGCTCTGGCCATGGCCACCACCGTCTCCGCCCACGCTCAGATGTACGGCATCTGGGTCAACGGCGTTGACCAGGGTGATGGCCGCAAGGACTACATCCGCTCTCCCCCCAACAACAGCCCCGTCAAGGACCTCACGAGCCCCGACCTCGTCTGCGGCCCCAACGGTGGCACCCCCGTCCCCAGCTTCGCCAAGGCTGCCGCAGGTGACAAGCTTAGCTTCGAGTGGTACCATGACAACCGCGACGACGACATCATTGACGGCTCCCACGCGGGTCCCCTGATCACCTACATTGCCGAGTACACCGAGACTGACGGTTCCGGCCCCATCTGGACCAAGATCGCTGAGGATGGTTACTCTGGCGGCAAGTGGGCCGTTGACAAGATCAAGGCCAACCACGGCAAGCAGGACTTCACCCTGCCTGCCAGCCTCGCCGCTGGCAAGTACCTTGTCCGCCAGGAGATCATTGCCCACCACGAGTCCGACGTGGCCTTTGCCTCCAACCCCGCCCGTGGCGCCCAGTTCTACCCCTCTTGCGTCCAGCTCGAGGTCACCGAGGGTGGCAGCGCTGTTCCCGATGAGGGCTTCGACTTCAACACCGGTTACACCTCGGCCGACCCCGGTATCGTCTTCAACCTGTACAGCGGCTACACCAGCTACACGATCCCCGGCCCCAAGGTCTGGACCGGTGCTGGCTCCGGCAGCGCCCCCGCTCCCAAGCCCACCACCGGTGCTCCTGTCGCCACCACCACTGCCGCCGCCCCTGTTGCTCCTACCACCACCGCCGCCCCCGTCGTTCCCGCCCCCGGCAACGGCAGCGAGGATGACTCCGAGGGTGCCCCGGCCCCCCGTCTTCTCTTCCATCGCGTCGGCCGCCCCCGTCGTTCCCACCACGACCGCTGCCTACCCCGTCCCCACGACCACCCTGGCCACCGTTGTCAAGCCCCCCTCGGCCACCAACGCGCCTATCACTCCTCCCACCACACCCCCTACCACCTGCAAGGCCAAGCGCTCCAGGTCCCGCAAGGCCCGCCGCAGCGCCAAGAAGGTCGCCCGCCGTGCCCAGCTCTAAGCTGTGGGCTGTCACGATATATGATGGCATGAGCCGTCTGTTCAGTGGCCTGTGGCCGATGACAGAGGCCATTTCATTCGGTCGGGGATGAGAGCGTGTGTTTTCGGAAGCATACGACGGTCTACGATTTTGATTCCTGTATATATTGATCCAAGTGTGCATATACTGCGTGTAGAATCTGAAGATTTTCAGCAGACTTGTTCCGTCACCCCTCCTGTGACTCGTGTGATTATTCGTTTGTCAAAGCAGACAATATGCATGATCATGTACTGTTGTTCCGCAGTTGATCGTCTCGGGAGCTGCTGGAAAGTTCCTCAATTGTACGTTACATTTGGAGTGCAGCCTGCTAGCCTACCAGTGCCTCGGCAAGCAAGAAGAAACAGGAAAAACAAAAACAACAGCCCGACGTCTATAACTCTATGTCAGGCGCGAGTATCTCTTCAACGTCGAGCCATCCATCTTCCCTGGCTAATATCGAACCTTCGATACGTCGAATACGAGCAGGGCCTCCAGTCTCCTGGTCCAGGCTAGTCAAAACAAAGTCCACTTTAACAATTACAGCACAGCCAAGGCAGGCATGGCACGGCCGGTTGGGTGTCAATGTCCGACGCTCATCTCGTGTCGTGCGGGCAGGTGGACCCATCTGCCTGGCCCGATATATTGCGGGGCCGAGGAGAGAGATCTTTTTGTCTCCACTCTCGGGGGGGGGGGGGAAGCTTGAAACTCGAGCAGGCTGTGGAGCCGCTAGAACCTCCTGTAGATGGGTTTTACTGGGCCCCGTTGACTGGCAGAACTCAGCCACAGGAAGCTCCAAGAATACCTACCGTCACGCGCGCCCTTGTAGGGAAGCGAGAACAGCAGCAGAAGTCCCTCGAACCAATCTTCCAATGTACTATGGTAGGTCTATGGTGGTCCGTTCAACAGTCAACAGATACAGGAGAGATTCTCTTCCGTCCATCTGATGCCTCTGTAACTGGGCCGTGCAACTATGCCTCTACGTACTTCCTCGATAGTAGTAGCCTTGGGGCCTTGTCGGAACGGCTCTTCTTCTATTATTCTGGGTGGTAGAAACCTAGGACATATCATTTCCAGTCAACAGCAGCCTTTGCTGGCCCATGATGCCTCCAAAAATGCTGCAATCGCTGGAAGATCCTCGGCCCGGTTGGGTGCTATCTGCCGTTCAAACAAATCCTAGTTCAGATGCATATCCAAGAGGGCCTTGAGAAGAGCGTGACTGAGAATGCACGAGCCATTGGAGACAGAAACTATCAATGCATGGCTTTACGATATTAATCAAGGATTATTGGACATTTGGTAAAGACCAAGGTCGAGCTGCCGGTACGCCTAGTCAAAGTTGACGAAGAACATAGGATGGCCCACGGGCGTCGATCGGTCCGCATATACATCTTTTCGTAGACCTTAGCTGGGTTCCTACCGAAATATGAACTCCTCGAGCTCTCTATATGCCCTTTCCATGTCGTCGTTAACAATGATCAAATCGTGCAGCCCTGGTGTTGCATCTGCATACTCCAATTCTGTCTTCGCCTGTGCCATTCGTCTCAGTATGTCTTCCTCATTCTCAGTGCCGCGGCTCCGAAGACGTCGCTCAAGCTCTTCGAGACTGGGAGGTTCGACGAAGACATAACGAGCGACAGGAATCTCGGGGCTTCCCTGTAGCTGCTTGACACCCTCCAGGTCAATGTCGAACAGAACAATGGTCCCTTGAACCAAGCTCTTGGCCACTTGATCAATGATAGCTCGTCTGCTGGTGCCATACATGGAACCACTAAACGTTGTGTGTTCGATGAATTTGTCCTGCGTAACGAGAGCAGTGAACTGTGGGTCGGAGACAAAGTAGTAGTCCACGCCATCGACCTCACCTGGCCGGGGGCTCCTTGTGGTATGTGAGACCGTAAGCGCAAACAATCCGCGGTGCGTGTCCCGAAGCTTCTTGATAAGGGCTCCTTTGCCCACGCCGGACGGACCCGAAATGACAATAGGCTGGTCTGCCCGCATCGCTGCTTGTATTGACCGCATGAAGTGGATATGATAAAATGGGCGATGTGGTGCTCAAGTGCCTTGTGAACAAGAATTCTACAGTTGCTCCTGTATGGCAAGGCAAGCCCTGGATGTAGGTAACTGAATGAAATAGCGGCGGGTTGAAAACTCAGGCGAGTTGGAAAAGCCCTGGTTTTAGGCAGCGCAATGGTGGTAGAGAGAGAAGGAAAGTATGCAAGTTCTCATCCAGGGGTAGAAGACGGTCTACGATCTTATATGAGGTCTCCGACTGAACGGACCAACGAGACCGCTCGGAAATTCTGTGCGTGCTGGCTTAAAAACTTAAAAAAATCAAACTTAGTATGATACCTTGATAGCTGAACTCATACATGCAAGAGTCCAGGACACCCAGCATGTTTATGGCTGTGCTGACTTTGCAAGTCGATGTCTGTGTTTGGCATGCTTGCCTACCTTTGGCTGCATGGCGCCACTGATGGTTCGGTGTACGAGGCCGATGGCTTGAGTAACGCTAAGTGACTTGAGTTTATCATGGGTTTGACGCTTCCTCAAAATATTTGACTTTGTCTGGTGTTCTAAAGAAGACTTAAGACTCGTAGAGCCTTGAATCGTCTTCCAATAAGCAGGCGACAATACTACCTAGTAGTTCAGTGCCTTGGCGGTGGTAACCAAGAACACCCGTCTTAGCTCTAAGGAGTGCTAGCTGGCAGGTATCCCGCAGTGGCAGCTCGAAACCTCTGAGATGACGCACATCAGGCGCTAATAAGAGCCCCACCATCTCATGTTTGGCGCGTCGCTGCGTGCCTGAGCTGCCGCATCGTCCACTGAACGGAATGCCTGACAGCTTTGATGGTTGAGGTACTGCATCTCTGCAAAAGCAGTCAGCTGTCTTGATAAGAATTCGAAGGTATTCAGCACATTTCTACCCCAAGACCGTCTCAGACCGCCGTCTCAAATGCGGCTGTTGGTTTCCTGTCTTCGCCCCGACTTCAGGGTCCGTTTTCGTAGCCGCTAGGCGACCCAGCATTTTCAACGGTCGCGGCGTCTCACAGGGGCAATGGGTCTTATCAGCTCTTTATCAGCACTCAATCACGCCAACTAGCTCCAACGTTCCGTCCACCTTTTCGACATTTGGACCAGCCATTGCATCGTCAGATCCAAATCAGAACTCTTGTCAGACCTCTCGTCCAATACCACCACCTGGCTTCTTCGAGACGTGCCTTCGACGCCGAGTGTTATCCTCCCAACTGCATCGCGCCCGGCGTCCGGCACGCCGAGAGAGGCGAACCCGAGAGGGCTGGAGTGCAAAGGAGAAGGGCCACTCAGCAGCATGCTCCCGCCGACATGAAGCTCAGAATACCCCAGACCCGCACCGTCAGGAGCCTGGCCTCCGCTGTTGGTGTCACCATATTCGTGTACCTCCTCATTAGCAATCTCGAGACCCGTCTCCGTCTTGGCGACGATGGCCTCGCGTCGCACCCGTCCAGAGCCGGATCATCGCCAGCCAGAAATCCCGACTGCCCTGGGCCTGCACTCCGACACCTGCGCAACCTCGAGCTCAACCTAACCGACACCATCACCTACACGAAGCGGTGCATCAAACCCGTTGTCACACGATCCCTCGACCGCGACGCTGTTGCGCAAATAGACGAACCCCTCCTCAAGATCAAGACGAAGATAGATCTCAGTTCGTGCGCACCAGTCCAGCTCGAAAGATGCGATCCTATACCACTGCGCGTTCCGCGCCCATACCCAAAGTCCACCTATCCCCAATACGTTTTTGGCGTCGCCACGTCGTACGAGCGCTACGAAGAGTCAATAGACACATTCGCCTTTTGGCTTGCAGGGTCGCATGCCAAGCTGGTCGGTGTCGTCACCGACTATGACGAAAACCGCCCCAACCTCGAAGCTCTCGTCGCTCGCTATGCCGAGCGCGATGTCATTGCCAGCTTCGTCAAGCCCATTCGCTCAAGGCTCAGCGTCGGCCAAAACCACTTCACCATCATCCGCGACCTCGTCAAGGCTTCAGGCCCCGAAACCGAATGGATCGCTATCCTCGATGACGACACATTCTTCCCCTCTCTCCACAAGCTCACCGTCGCCCTTTCCGACATTGATCACACGCAGCAGGCGTACGTCGGTGCCCTATCAGAGGACTTTAGAGCTGTTCGCACCTTTGGCTACATGGCTTTCGGTGGAGGCGGCGTTTTCCTGTCGGCGAAGCTGGCGCGGGACCTCGAACCCCTGCTTGAGACATGCCTCAACGAGGCCAAGACGGGCGAGGGCGACGCGCTCGTGCGCGAATGCGTTTATAAACACACGCATACCAAGCTGACGCCACTGCCGGGGCTGCACCAAATGGACATGGCCAGGGACGCCACGGGTTTCTACGAGGGAGGCCCCAGCCCCCTGAGCGTCCACCACTGGAAGAGCTGGTACTTCTCCCCCGTCGAGCTCATGGCCACCATCACCCACGTCTGCGGCGACTGCTTCCTGCAGCGCTGGCGCATGGGCGCCGACACGGTCCTCACCAACGGCTATTCCATCAGCATCTACCGCGACGGTCTCGACGACGTCGACCTCAGCCGCATGGAAGATACGTGGTCCAATGAGCAGCCCGACTTTTACGACTTTAGCATTGGGCCGTTACGAAAACCTATGAAGCCGGGGCAGAAGAAGACGTATAAGCTCGAGGATGCCGACTACCTCAAAAACGGAGGAGTGCGGCAAATCTACGTGCACCGGGCGGAGAAGGCTGGCCAGAATGACGACGTCATTGAGCTCTCATGGGAGGCGTCCAGACCAGGCCTCCTAGGCAACATTCGACCTGAATAATGTAGCGTTTGTGTCTATTTGGATGTATGGCAAGGGTAAGGCATGTTTTGGTTGCCCCCTTCTTGGCGTTGGATGGGCTATTTGCGCATTTAGATGTTGGCTTGATGACCCTAAATTGCTATCATGCTGTTGAAGTAACCTCCATCCCTCTTGTTCTTGCGGCCTGCCCCTCAGTTTTTAGCCTTCCGGGCCTCCCGGCTGTACGCGACATCAACACCCGCACGGATCACGGTCGCGACTAGGCATGCTACTGCGTGCACTAGCGGCACGTACCCGTCGGCACGCATCTGTCTCAGTGAGACATCGAATCGGGTCAGCGGTTGGGACAAACAATGACGAGAATAGGAAATCGAGGGGGACCCACCTTTGACATGTTCATCGTAGCTTAAGGTTCAGCCTCGTCAGGGGAGACCAAGGGCTGCCAAACAAGCTCTTGAGCTATCTAGATCGATGAGGCCATCCAACAAGCTGAGTCGAGTGGAATGTGAGCAATCTAGCCTGCTTCCCCACGGAGTGCGCCCTTCCCCCACGGCAACACCTCCCAACGCCCCGGACGGGTCTGGCATTCGAGGGAGACGGACAACAAGGGGGTCCTCCTTGACAATGTGTCGAGCTTCCAGCCCGTCCGTTAAAGCATGGCAATACCTCATGCCCCTGGACACAGTCCTCTCTGGCAGATCTCCTGGTGTTTCTTTCCCTAACTGAGCTGTCCCTGCTCCCTCAGAGCATGTTGACGACGATAGCGACCAAAAAAACGAAACGAGACGAGACGAGATGCCATTCATCTCTGCGAAAACGCCAACGCGGGAGCTGAGCCGTTCGCCTACTATGCCCTGGCTCTCGCGCACGCCATCTTACCAGTCATCACCGCTGCAGTCGCCCCGTCCGAGCTCACCTCGTCTACCGTCTTCCACGGGCAAACAGCCATGCCCGCCCGTAACGTACATACCGGCTCTCATCGACGGCGCGTGCGGGACGCTGCCACTCGCGCAGAAGCCCACAGTTGATCTCATGCGCGAGAACCTCCAGGACCTGTGGGCCATGGCCCCGGATCTGTGGGCTGCGCTAAGGGGCAGCTTGATCAGAAGACCCGGGGAGAGGATGTCGGGGGCGCAGATGAAGGACGCTGTGGTGCAGGTTTGCCTGAGTGTCATCGAGGTCGGGATGCTGCTGTCCGTGATGCCCATCTGGCTGTTTATGCCTGGCATTGTGTTCGCGTCGTGGGCGGCCATGTCGTTGACTGTGGTGTTCGGCCTCAGTTGGCTGCTGAACGAAGACAGCGTCACCATCAGCTGTGACGGGGCCGACAGCTGGGCTACGGACAGTGAGACGCACGACGAACGGTGGTTCTTCGTCAGTGGCATCGGGACAACGTATGTGACTGTGAGCTGAGTACCGGATGATAACGCATGCTGACAGCGTCCCCAGAGCTCACCACCTCGCACATCACACGCTGCCTCTGATGGCTCGCCTCTTCACGCATCCCATCATGGGTATCCATACGCCAACCTACGGTCTTCCCTTTGACATCATTCTGACCATGCTCCACCGGGCGATACCCTCAATGCAGACGGCCGCCTCGCGGGCTCTGTACATGGAACTCCGCGCCGCCCTGCTCGATAGCCACATCACGCGAGTGGCCGTCCTCTCTCACACAACAGGCGCCATCCCGCTCAGTTCCGTCCTCACGCGGCTCAGCGCCGACCTCCAGCCGGAGAAGCTCTCCAAGCTTGAAATCTTCACATTCGGCGCCGCCGTCCGCGAGTTCGCCACGCCGCTCGGCGAAACAAAGAAGCCCTCACCAGCCGGCAGCACGCCGCGGTTCGAGGAGCCGATCGTCGAAGATCGGGGTCCGCATATCGAGCACTTCGCCTTCCCCTCTGACCCGCTCGCTCAGCTGGGCGTCCTGCGCGCCGTCCAAAAAGACCACACCGCCCGCTTCTGCGGTAGCGTCTTCCTCATCCACGTCCAGCCGCCCACCCACGCCATGTCCGCTTCTGCCATGCCCTCTCCCTCACCTGCCGGCGGAGTCCGTGGAGCCTTACGTCGCCCGCCGGGTCATCTCGCCGACTACCTAGCTGCGCTCTTTCCCGCCTCGATGGACGGCACGACACCGGGAAAGAGCAGCATCCTTGACTACGTCATGAGCATCGATCGCGACACGGCCGAGAAGCGCGAGCTTGCGGCCATGGCGTCGTATGCCGAGTGCAAGAAGCGAAGCGGCCGGTTCGGGCGCGACGGCAAGCGCACGAGCTGGACGGGGCTCGGCGCGACGGTTGGCGGCGGGGCCACCAACGGCGTCATGGACGGCGTCGTCGGGCTCGAGATGGCGAGGCGCGGGTGTCGCGAGTGCGATGGGCACAGGGGTCGCGAGGTTAGCCGCCTGGCGGACTATGTGCGGAACAGCAACATCATCATTCGCAGGGACTCGAGTGTGGTGGATGCGCTGGGCGTCGGGAGGACATGAGGAGGCGTGGATCAGCTTGCTACAGACAGACATACCTTTGATAGACTTTTCCTAATGACCTTTGTAGCGTTTCAGGCCAGTATCTGCAAACTGTCTGTCTACTTTTGTACATGAAATTCTGCGGAAAACAGAGGAGAAACACATGGTACTCATGGGACTTGAAAGGTGGGTATCAAAAGCGAAATTCGTGTCGCTGGTGTCATCACAGCTCTTTCATCTTCTCCAGTGACTGCAACGCTCGCTCGAGCTGCACGACGACATCGGCAGACGCCAGCATCTGCTCTCTTGTTCTGAAAACCTCCCTCGCATGGATCGCGCGGGCAAACCCAAGCGAGTGCTCCAGTCTATCCCGCAACGAGCGACCCAAGATGTCTTTCCCCTCAACGGCAGCCTGCACCTCTGTCAACTGGCTTTTAATGGTCTCAAACTCTGGCTCCAGGTCGATCACGCGCTGGTTGCTCTCTATCTGCTGTTCCAGTTTGGCGATGTGCTGGCTCTGTGTCTCGATGAGTTCGACTTGCGTCTGCCTGGTTAGTTCTGCTTCCTTGGCGTAAGCACTCTCTGTCTGAGCTCTGGAGTCAGATTCGGCCACGCGCCGCGCGAGTGCTGAAACCTGGCCCTGAAGGGCATTGAACTGAGCTGTGCTGGGGGCGTCTGACAGACTGCTTTGCGCACGCAGGTCATTGAGCTGTTCCTCAAGGTCTCTGTTGCGCTGTTCGAGTGTTTCGATCCGCTTTGCATCCTCCTCTGACATGGTGTTGTGTATCCGTCGTTCTTCGAGAAGGTCTAGGCGAGCACCATGGCCATTGATCTGATCCTGAAGTCGAGTACCAAGTCGTTCAAGGGCCAAAGAGTCCTCGGTATTCTTGGCAACGGCTTGCGCATCAGTACTGGACGCCTCAAGCCCCTGAAGGCGGGCCTCATGAGACTTGGCCATCTCTGATAAGGCATCCTTGGAAGTCAAGTGGCCGTCAACCCCACTGTGAATCTTGTCAATCTCTGCAGGTGGATCTAGCTTGCATGCAGAGTGATGAGTCTCCCCAGGCTGCTCTGGGGAGACGTCTTGTCCGGCATGATCAGCCTGGACTCGGTCGGCTTGTGGTGTCCCTTCATCGATCCTCGGCAGCCTCTCTGTGCGAGCGGGTGTTAAGTCTCTCGAGCTGTGGCCTCTGCCACGCGAATCACTAGGTGAAGGCAAGGAGTCCGTGGGTCTTTCCGACTCAACGCAGTGCCGTTTGCTGGCACTGTCTGGTGCCTCGTCTTCAGAGGAGAGAAGGTGCTTTTTATTGGCATTCGCATCTTCGCGCTGGAGTTGGTGCTCCTCCGGTCGCTGAGTCACAGAGCGGTCATCGGAGTAAGGCCAGAACCCGGGAGATAGCAAAAGGTCGACATCTTGAAGGAGGTCGTCCCACTTGGCCATCTTGTCGTCGAATAAGGCGTAGTGCTCCCGCTCGTTCTGAGGTGCCCTACTGACAGCGTGAGACCATAGATGACACCACTCGTCTGCGAGAGCTGCGAGAAGCGTTGGCTTCTCCCCGCGGTCGGACTCCCGTCGGTAGATCCTGCGCCTGGCAGAGTAGAATTTTGTGAGATCACGGATCTGGCGGGCGTGAGACGTGGCGAAACTGCAGGCGCGGTTCACGGCGCGATAAATCGCAATCTCGTTGTTCATGGCGCTGAAATGCAGCAGAGCCCTGAACATGATGACCAAGTTGACGTAAATGCGTTCTTCTAGGCTCGACTGGTTCACAGTGTACTTGCGCTGGCCAAGTATCACTTTAGCCCGAGCATCATCGTTTTCGTGTGCTGCCCAGGGCGGCAACCCATCAGCGAACCCTCGGAGGGCGAAAACGCCGGCGAGGGTGCCTGGCGGTCGAGAGGTTTGTCCATCTCTTGATGGCGAGCGATCGTGTGGTGAAGAATTCATCAAGGGTTTCGCCGGGTGCTGAACATGAAACAGGTCTGGACAAAGGAGCTGCGACGAGGGCGAATTACGATGTGAAGAGAACAATGAGATTAGTGGTATTCGAAATGAACAGACACAATTTGATGAGAAGGTTGGCGACGTCGCACCTCTTGAGGTTTAGACGACGCTCCTCAAAAAATTGCCCCAAGCAAGGTGCCTAAGGTAGATGGGCAGGAAGAGGTGACCGGAGCACCTGCCACTTTACGCGACAAACGCGCCAGTGAGCAACATTGTCAGCCTGCCAGGCTGACAGCGGGGAGCTAGCCCTCTTGGCCCTCTATCTGACGTCGAGCTTTATCTTATCAGTGTCCACCCCGGTGGAGAAGTCAGGCGGCTCCACTTGTGACCTGTCTGGCCGGGGCCTTGGTGACGGCGACGCTTAGATGTTGATTCTCGACATCCGCGACTGGAACAGACAATACCGACGACCCAAGCCATCCAGCGCTTCGCAAACTTCTTCTATATACAAAAAGAAACAAGGAGATCGAGTCCTTTCGACGCGCGCGGGCGCTACATCCCCCGCCCACAATGCCTTCCACCGACAATCCCCCAGAGACCATCGATGCTGCGAACAAAAACCCGTGGACCGAAGAGACGAAGGCCAAGTTTGAAACGTTCGATTACAACGACCCCGAAGCCTGGAGCCATGGCACTGACTGTTCGTGACCAGCAAGAGCAAGAGCAAATATATGGACCCGTGTCAGGACGCCGCCAAGCGCAGCATTAAGTGCTTGAATCGCAACAACGGCGACAGGGAGATGTGTGGTGAATACTTCCAGTACGGTGGCCATGAATTCCCCAATTACAGACCTGATGGCTAATCATTGCCGCAGAGCATGGCGAGACTGTCGACAGGCATGGGTATGGAGCCTAATACCTCTTTCCTGACCGGTAAATGGATTATACTGACACCACATAGATGGACCAGCGCAAGGAGGAGAGACGAAAGGCGGGCAGTTTTTTCTGAATGACCGACCGCGCCGGAAGACGTGTACAAATGGAATGGCAATGCGGCTTGGCAGCGTCGGAGTGGTGCCGCCGGGATCGAGCGTGGTGTAACAACAGGTGTAAACTACCGTGACCGTGTATTGGGCCTAGCTACGGGAGAGGCATTGCATGGGAAATGATGATCATGAAGAGGGACAGGGCAGGGGAAGAGTTTACAACAATTTCATCAGCCAAATGCTCGAAACCTTAGACTTCGTCGGCGACTACCTAAGGTAAGTACATGTAGTAATCCTCAGTTATGGTGGGACCCGCTTTTCTAGCTGCCATTTCGATGCGCAACCAATCACAGTACGTCCTGCACTGAATTTCGTGCCCCTCCATCCATCTCACCTTGTCGTGGTGTGGTGCATGAGAGAACAGGCTCAGTTGATGCCCCGCCATCCCAACGCATCACCATGTCCTGGAACCGCCCCCAGCTCAAGAGCGGCGTTGATCTGCAGCTGCAGTCCGCCTTTCACGAAGGGCAATGGGCGTCCGTCATCCGCCTGGCCGAGAAGAGGCTCCGAACATTCAACGATCCCTACTATGAGGTGTGTTTTGTTTCCCAAGAAGCCCAAGAAGGGTGTGTCGGCTCGGCTGACGGTACGAGATTGTCAAAATATGCGCCGAGTCCAACCTCGACTCGCCGCTGGAGAGGTCAGCCGGTATCATTGCTGTGCAGAGGCTCGTCAAGGACGGCACTGCCATCAAGGACGTCGACGCCCTGGACCTGCTCGAATGGGCCACCGGCAGCCTTCAGGATGAGAGCGAATTCCCCCACACCCTTGGCCCTTTGAAGGTCAGGTGCGTCAAGGCCAGTCCCAAGGACCGCAATGCCGGCGTTAGGTGCCTCGAGTCTTGCCTCCTTCACTGGGACCTCGTCAGCGCGCAGCAGATTGCCGCCATCCTGGACCGGTCCTTCCCTCATGACAGGATATTCTTCTTCTGGAACGTCGTTATCACTTATCTTCTCTGCGTGTGTATTCCCCATCGCCCTTGCCTGTATGCGCCTTCTGACCTCTTCCAGTTGAGTGACCAGTGCACTCCCGACAAGAAGAAATTGTACGGCATGCTGGCTCTAAAGCAAATACAGCGTGCATCCCAGACTGTCGGCACGGATACTGATAGGACCATTAAGACGGAGGAGGAAATTCTCCTTCTCTACCGTATCCTCGAGTCCCACGGATCAGACGCCGAGTGGGAGGCCGCCCTCGACCACCCGCACTTCGGACCAGTCCAGCAACTTCGCCTCGGTCGCAAGGACCTCTTCCTACGCGCTCTTCGTGTGAGCAAACAGCGAGAAGACTGGTCCACTGTATATCGACTATGCAAGGACTGCCTGACAGCATCTGACGATGGTCCTGGGGTCAGGCTCCTTGCCTGCGACTGGAATGTGTGGCAAGACTTCCTCGCTGCTGCCGGGCAGCTCAAACAGGCTCGACCAGAGTAAGTCTCGAACCCTGTGTGTCGTCGAAGCAATCAATGCTGACTTGCATTGTCAGGGTGATTTCCGAAATCGTGTCTCTTCTCGGCCAATTCTCTGCCTCCGAAACTTTACGCCCTATTTATCTCCGCAACATCCTCCTGGCCCGTGTTGCTGCCTCTTTCCAACTTGACACTTCTGATCTTACAAACAATGATGCTTTCCTTACAAGATCAGAAGAGCTACAGCGCTACATAGAGAGCCAGTGCTCCTCTCCAGCGTGTTTCGACGATATCAAACGTTTTGTGGAGCAACTTGACCCAGAGGAAATGAAGAACCTCGCCTTCGAATACGTTCCCCAGCTGGCAAAGAGACAGCAAGATCCCTTGCATACGGCAGTTGTTAAGACCCTGGCGTATCAGCTTCAGTACCTGATCCTTACTGCTCCTAATTTGGTGGTGCAGGTTCCGGTTGGAGCTGATGCCAAGCCAAGATGGAGGTCAGTCATCAACGGTGTTGAAGGCGAGTCCGAGATCTGTTTAGAGAGGTTCCAGGGCGTTGCTGAATCGGCTGCCTCGCTGTATCGCGCCCTTGTAGACTCGATTGGGTCCTCGGATGGCCAGGACCCCGATTGTGTTCCAGAGCTTGCTATTCTCACAGCCACAGCCCTGGTCAAGCTCAGCGGTCTACGAGCTGACCGCAGCAATCACCTCCCTTCGCCACTTCATGTTGCGCAGAGTGACCGGGTCCTCCAGGCTGCCCTCATACTAGAATACCAACTCACGAGGACTCCAAAGCACAGCCGCGTCACGCTACTCCTCGTTCGCATTCATCTTATTTTGGGTACCATCTCGAGGGCAAAGGAGTTGTGGGCCACAATGGACGTCAAGCGGACGATTATTGACTCGCTCAGCCCCTATTTCCTCGATCGACTTTCTACTCTCTCTCCCGCTTCGGTGCTTCCCGTACCGAATAGGCCTCAGCAAGCAATGACCTACGGTCTCAAGGCTTACTACGGCACTTCCCTTAAGTTGAGGATGCCGCGACGTCTCGCCGACGCCTTCCAATCCGAGAGTTACTCAAGTATCCTTGAGATCCCCGTGTTCATCGACCGCCTACGGATAAGTTGCACCATGGCAATGGGTTACATCGAGGAACTCCGCGCGACTCGTGCCCTGGGCCGCAAGGGCATTCCCATCTCCGAGGAGGACTACATCAGTGAGTGATGGCTTTCTGGAGTGAATGGTCATTCCCAGGGCTAATTTCGTAACTAGACGAGATCACACCCGCTACACAATTGACCGAAGTCATCGACTATGGATCTGTGCCCAACCTGCACGTCAGCACAGCTCAACCTGTTTACGAAGCCCTGCAGATCGGACCCAGCCCATCGGTTCGTTCGTACCGTCCGCCAAGTCTTTCCCACTTACTAACGCGAACTAGAACGCACGCACGCACCTTGCCATTGTTGCTGAAAAATACTTCGAGGTCCTCTCGTACAAGCCACCGTCGGCGTACAAGCCAGCAAACCCGAGCCAGGCCACAGCGGTAGATAACATCTTTGTCACTGAGAGCCTGCAGCAACTCAGCAACACCGCCGCCAAATTTCTCCGAGCTCGGGAGACGGCCAAGTTCACCGCCCAGGAACATACCTTCTTCGAACTCATCTCCCTTTTGACCACCCTCGCCCCCCTCGCCACGTCGTCAGACCGCAGCGATGCCTCCGCGTCTGTCCTCTCGCAGGTCGCTTCTGCTGTGTCTGTCACATTAAATACGTTACTCGAATCAACGTTGTCGCTCCCCTCGGGAGACCGGGACATCAACCCGGTGCTGATGCTGAGCTCTCTGCACGGGCTGTTCCACCTCCGTGATGCCGCTGCGGCGATCAGGCTTGCGACGTCGTACATTACCAGCTTCAACGAGAACGAAAAGGCGCGAGACAAGTCTGGTCAGAGCTGTCTTCCGAAAGAGACGCTGGCGCATGCCAAGGCGCTCGATAGCGCGGCTGCCAAAGCTTTCGCCGAAGGAAAGGCACGGATCGCGCTGCTGAAGAAAGAATTGGTCAGCGGTAACCTGGAAAGTCGGTTGGGATCCTGGACCGCGGCTCAGTCTTCGGATGACTCGTTGGCGAAGGAGATTCGCGCAGCAGTCGGCGACGGCTTTGACGACTGGAAAAGAATCGTAGCCGATTCTTGGCGGACAAACGTCAAGGGCTGGGAATTGGTCAAGTGGGAATAAAAAAGAAATGGAACAAGAGGAGGGACGGCGTGCATCTAAGAGCGGTTCATAGACTTAACATTGCGAGACAATCTTTCCGAAAGCTGGCTTTTTTGGACATGATGGCACCCACCAAAAGCCGAATTCATCGCAATGCAGCCTCCTGTGTTTCTCCCTTTCCCGCGCGGACCAACCGTAGCTCCCGAACAACTCCCTGAAATGCAAATATCATATCGAACGTCGAGTCCTCATGTCCGTGGTGTCCCGATTCTTAATCCATATTGCGCAGGGAGCTGTTGCTCTGCTTCAAGCTCTTCTTGACAACCTCGGTGCGCTCTTCCCGCAGCGTCACCCATGCCCAGAACCAGCTGACCATCTCGACAAACATAAACGTGAAGAAGACCGAGTTCTTCCACCCGTCGCCTCCCCAGGCGGAGGGCGTGTAGTGTGGGTTATGCGATCGGACCGCGTCGCGCATGGAGCCCTCTCGGTAGAGCGGCGAGGAGGGGCCGGCAATGAGCGTGTAGAAGACGAAGCCAAGGGCGATGCTGAGACGGAGGGGAGCTGTGGACAGACATGGTTAGCGGAGAGCTCATCACGAGGGAACGGACAGCGCGCGACGGACCTTGGGTGCCCCAGTAGTAAAGAAGGCTGATCTCCTCGGGCATGCTCAGGGTCATGAGATCGGAGATACCCATAAAGATGAGGAGGGCGGCGACGAAGGCCAAGGGCGCGGAGCGGGATTCGAAGCTTCGGTCGGAGGGCTGCAGAGACAGCGTCAGCGATCTCTATCTGGCATCATAGTGAGGTATGGTCGGGATATTTACCATGCCCATGGAGCCTCCCAGGATGAACACCAGACCCTGGTCGGCAATGGTGCTGGGGTTTGTGAGGAAGTAGAAGCCCAGTGTGATGTGGAAGAAGCACAGGGACGTGATAATCGTCCTGGTTGAAAGGAGCGCCATCTTGGGAAATTGGACCTTCGTAACAAAGAGGAGGTATGCTGGTGATTGAATCAACGGCCTGCGCGGAGCAGCTTTCGCGATCCAGGAGCTAAGCTTGGAGTCGTGGCTCGAGGGTGGAGCAGGGGAGGTGTTGAATTAGCGTCGTTCTGTTCTTTGACACCCAGCCACGCCTCTGAGCCACACCGTTCCTTTACGAGAGTAGCTGATGATATAGTACATGACAACTTCACCAGATCACGAATCCATGTCTGGCCTTTTTTCCGTATCGATACATGTAAATTGACACTGTACCATTGAGAATTACTCCTAATGGACACTAGGTAGGTACTCAGACAATCCTTCGGCTGGCATCATAGCACTCCTTGTGCGACAGATGACCGAAACCCATGGCTCCCCGTTACTCAAACGACGACAATGTCCTGATATCGACAAGCGCTGGCCTATAAACACATCAAGCAGGGCAAAGGTGCAGCCGCTCGCTTTTCCTATTTCCTATAGCTGTGCATATCTAGCGCACCAGCACCCAGTCATCTTCAATATCTTGCCATACGTCGAAAATTACTCATCTTGTTTGTCAACCCCGCATCTCAGCGGGTAGGTCGAAATCACATCATGAGGAACTTGACGATGCGTGTGTTTCCAATGCATCAACAATAAGCTGGATCTCAGGGCGCGAATCGCCCCCAAGATCCAGGTAATGCGCACGACATGGATTGGAGTGCACTCTCCAAAGCGATGCGAAATGATGGCGGCAAGGACAAAGACAAATCATCGACCGATTATGGGTTACACACTCTGGTCGCCAAGGACAGCAAGTCGCCCGAGCTCATCGACGTCGTGGCCATCCATAGCCTGAACGGGCATTTCTTGAAGACTTGGACTGATCCGATTACGGGCGTCAATTGGCTTAAAGATCTTGTTCCCAAGTTTCTCCCGTCAGCACGCGTCATGTCAGTCTGGTACAATTCCCAGGTCCAATTCAGCAAATCTACCGCGGACATTCATGCCTTCTCTCAGCAGCTTTTGGAGAGTCTCCTGGCCGAAAGAGAGTCTATAGAGGAACAGGACCGACCGCTCATCTTCATCTGCCATTCACTCGGCGGTCTAGTCTTCAAGCAGGCTGCAATCAAAGCCCACGAGAATGAGAGGTACCGTGATGCTCTGTCGTTCCGCTTTCACGGTGTCATGTTCTTTGGCACACCACACCGCGGCTCGAATTTAGCAACATGGGCGTCCGTCACTGCGAATGCCCTTCGCGCTGTCTCTTTCAGCACAAGTACCAATGCCCGCCTGGCAAAAGACCTGGAACCCACTTCGAGGTTGCTGCAGCACATCTCGACCTCGTTTGTCGACTCATGTGGTGCCAAGTTGAAAACAGCATCGTTTTACGAGACCAGGAAAATGGACTTTCTGAACTGTCTTGTAAGCAATCTCACAGCAAGAGATGATCTTTGGATCCGCAGTCTGAACAAATAGGATGCGGGTGTGCTGACAACGAGTCTATAGGTCGTCGACCCCAATCGGCCATTCTGAACATCATCGGTGAGACCAGAATCGCTTTGGAGCGCGATCACCGGACGATATGCCACTTTGCCGACCTTGACGCCGCACAATTTGCCCCAATCAAGTCGACACTGAGATCTATGGCTGACTCGGCCACCGCCAGTAAGACGCTATCTAAACACGAGACTGAGTCGTTCCTGCAAACTATCAACGTTTCTGACTACGCCGGCCACAAAAGCCGGAATGCGCCGCCTGTTCAGGGCACATGTACCTGGATTTTCGACCATCCCAAGTACCTATCCTGGATTGAGAGCCCAGACCCGGGGCTCCTTTGGGTCTCTGCCGATCCTGGCTGTGGAAAATCCGTGCTAGCTTCGTTCCTTGTCAACCAGCTGCAGGCGTCTGCAGATCTCGCGAATATCAACGTCTGCTACTTCTTTTTCAAATCCGACAGTTTGGAGCAGTTGAGTGCGGTGACAGGTATCAAAACTCTCTTGTATCAGCTCTGCAAGCAACAAAACGAACTCGCAGCTTCGGCCATGTCGATACTCTACAATGGCGGGTTGGAAGACATAGACAGCCTATGGCAGGCCATCGTGTACGCTACCCGCCAGAAAGCTGCCAAAAATACCATCTGCATTCTTGACGGTCTGGATGAGTGTGAGATGGAATTACGAGGCCGACTCATGCGGCAGATCACGGCGTCCTTTTCGAAAGTCGAGTCGGCCGAGGCAACATCGGCGTCCGCAAACTCTTCAGGCGAGAAAGCAGAGGCCGATCCTGGCGATATCAACAAACGACGACCAAAGCCGGGACGACCCAAGCTCAAAGTATTCGTAACTAGCCGTCCCGAGAATCAGCTCAAGATAGCATTTCAGAGCAATGTTAACAGGTCGAAAGCGGGTGGCGGAGAGTCTGATAGCAATTGCGCTCTGATTCGCTTACGCGGCGAAGACGAGACGGATGCTATCAGTGCCGACATCAACAGAGTTATCAGATCCAAGGTTGATGAGCTCATCCACCAGGGGCTCCCCTTTCAGCTATTGCAGACAGTTCAGGCAGAGCTCGTTGAGCGCGCAGACCGAACATTCCTTTGGGTGTCCTTGATTCTGGACTTGTTGGAGCAAAAGGTGGAAGCCGGCGCATCACAGAGAGAGCTTGACGAGCTTCTGCGAAACAGGGATATCTTTCGCATATATCGCGAGCTTCTTCAGCTCCGCTCGGAATCGCCTCGAGCAAGAAAGATGCTGCAAATCATCCTGGGAGCGACCCGCCCTCTCACGGTTGACGAACTCAGCATTGCGTTGGCTGTCGAGCCTGAGCCTGATAAGCCGCGCAGGGGAAGCAGAACCCTGGACGATGTTGAGTATGAGCTTGCATACCCCTTTGAAAACCATATCAAGTCGCTTTGTGGGCACTTTATTCGAATCATCCGTGAGAGGATCTATCTTGTGCACGAGACGGCCAGGGAGTTTTTGCTCACAATAGAGAGTGAGACGGGCTCCTCTGCAACATCTCGAAGGCCGTCTGCTTCAGGTACAGACACACCGCCATCGCTGTCTAGCATGATGCCATCTGAAAGCTCGCCGGCTCAATTGCCATTCCAGCACTCATTCTCCCTGGCCGATGCCCACAGGCTTCTTCTCGGAATCTGCACGACATACATCTACTGCTTAGGGCGGCCAAGCCGATGCGCATCGACAGGGTCAGCCAGCAAGAAGACCGAGGTCTTTCTCGACTACGCGGCAAAATATTGGACGGTTCATTTTCACCAGGCAATGCAGAGCCGGAGAGTGGCCTCTCCCAACATGGAGTACCACCAGAATCTCTGCCATCCATTGTTCCCGGGGTTCAAGACCTGGGTCGGGGCATTCTGGTTCCCAAATCTAGCACCAGTCGTGCCGGATAGCGAGGAGGGGCAGGACTACTACATTGAGCTCTTCCAGTTGTACCACCCAGGCGAAGAACTCGACCACTTGCACAGCCAGAGTGATTTTCTCGGGGCCCAACTTGACGAAAGCGACGACAGTGATGTTGAGGGAGCACTCGACATGTTTGGCGCGAGAGAGAAAGAAGCGCCATCGAAGCTCCTGCATACGGATGTGGTCCCAGTTCAGAAGCAGAACGACCACGGGGGTCGCTTGGCAGATCGACATCGCACAGCCAGGCTGCTGGACGCTGCGGTTTCGAATCCCACTTCGCTCAGAAACAACTTGTTTCCTCTCGAGGTCGACAAGAGTGGTCATGTTTCACTGGCTTTCCAGGATTGGCTGCACAACGGGCCTAAAAGTTCGCGAAGATTCTGAGCACGGCTGCAACAGCGCGATGGGGCTTTTTGGGGCCCTCGGTTTCATCAGATGAAGCAGAGCATAGGTCGACGAAGTTATTTTTTTCTTCTTCTGGGGTCATCAGCAAACTTCCATCAAGAACCTGGGAGTCCCTATAATGGTCCTATGTGCTTGGTTGCATTCTGATGGGAACGCGACAATGGGTGAGACCTTAACGGGCTGCTGTGTTAATAAAGCGTCTACGACTTCTCTGAGTAGAGGCCACGCTTGTCGGAGGCCTGGTCACGAGGGCGCTCGCATGAGAGTGTTTTTGAAGGATGCAGTCCCATATTCGATTCACCGTGGCCCTTTCTTCCCCCGTGATGGTAATCGTGTCAATGTACTGCGTAGGTATGGTTAGACCTGCATGGAGTGCAGAATCCCCAGTGGGTTGTAAACATGGCTCGAGTTCCCCATGTCTCCCATAATACGCATAGATACGATGCATTTCCCAAAGCAAGATGGCAAAGCTGTCGAACCAGAAAACATGTCAGTTGTACATCTTGACCTGCAAGATCTTGACCTGCAAGATGAGATGACTGGGCTGCGTGTCTTGAAAGGGGTCGTTTTCCACACAATCTTCTTGAAGGAGGTCAAAGGACCGTGGGGGCCGGGCCCACTGATTAACCCCCCACAGCAATGTCTTGAGCTCCAATTCCACACTTGCAAGGCTGCTGTACTCTAGCTTGTCCAGGTAGGTACCGCAGGAGGCAGCTACTAGCCTGGCATGGATGATCAATTGGGCGACGAGCGGCGCGCTTCGCAAGGCTGTCGAGCGCAAAGCTCAGGTGGGGTCGTAAATGTCTCGACACCACGAGTCGATTCACTGATTATATCGTCGCAGGCCACTGGAACTGTTGCACCGAAGAGGGCAGCACGTCCCAACCATAATTCAATCCCCGTAGCTCTACACCTTTCTCCCTCAACTCCCCAGTTCAGGCCCGAGCCTTCGTCCGCCTACGTACGACACACGAACCATGGCCGGCCCCGCGGAACAAGCTCCCCTCGACAAGGAGCGCCATCTCCGCTACTGGCAGCGCTGCTACCGCAGCTTCCTCCCGACCCAGTACACGAGCCACGACAGCATCCGCATGGCCCTCGGCTTCTTCATCGTCGCCGCCTTTGACATCCTCTCGCCGGCCACATCCTCGGGCGAACCGCACGCCCTGACGCCGTCCGACCGCTCCAAGATCCGCAAGTGGGTGCTGAGCCAGCAGCACGTCGGCGGCGGGTTCAGCGGCGCGCCGAGCCACACGTTGCCGGCGGAGCTCTGCTGGGGCTACGACCTTGAGACGAACAAGCCCGCGTTCAAGCACCCGGACGTGTCGACCATTGCTGCCACCTACTTTGCGCTGCTGCTGCTCGCGCTCGTCGAGGACGGTACACGGGAAGGGGGCAAAGGGGCGTTTGCAGGGGTGGACCGTGTCGGGATCCTGCGCTGGCTGCGGCGGCTGCAACGAGAGGATGGAAGCTTCGGGGACGTGCTCGTGGAGAACGGTGCCATTTCTGGCGGTCGAGATATGAGGCTCTGTTACCTGGCCGCCACGATTCGATGGTGCCTGCGAGGCGATGTCAAGGAGGGCGAGCCCGGCTGGGTGGAGGACATTGACGTCGACGCACTGATAGGGCATATTCGGCAAGGCCAGACGTACGATGGCGGGGTAGCGGAGAGCTCGCAGCATGAGGCACATGGTGAGATGGCCGCTCTGGAATGTGGAGACCCCTCGACTGACACACACACGCACAGCTGGATATGCTTACTGTGCTATTGGCGCATTATACATGCTCGACAGGCCTCTGGAAAGCACGGATGATTCATTCGACAGCGAAGCGCTGCGTAAGGGCGTCATTGACCGGGAGGGCCTGATCAAGTTCCTCGTGCACCGGCAGTTCGCGTACCTCGAGAGGCAAGAACAGGACGCAGAGGAGAATGACCCCGATGTCGCCAACTTTGCTCTCCCTCGAAACCTCGCAGACCTCTCGCTCGAGGAGAACAAGCACTTTGTAGGGTTCAACGGAAGATGCAACAAGGTCGCGGATACCTGCTACTGCTGGTGGGTCGGCGGGACCCTCGCTGTGAGTTTTACTCTACCGTTGCCGTCACTGACCGCGGAACACACCTCCCTGACATGATGGCAGATGCTTTCGCAGACCGGCCTCATCGCCAATGCGCCGTCCCGCAACTTCCTTCTGTCCAAGACGCAGCATATTATCGGCGGCTTTGCCAAGTACCCCGGCGGACCACCAGACGTCCACCACGCGTACCTCGGACTCGCCGCCCTTGCCACCATGGGCGATTCGTCCCTGCGCGACTTTGACGCTGGGTTGTGCGTCAGCACGGAAACGGTCGACAAGATTCGCGCTGCAAGGGCGGCTTTGACTGCGTCCGGCCGTCAACCAGAGGCTGCGGCTGGCATTGCTGGCGCTGGTGTGAATTTTTGGAAGGGCAAGCAGGCGACGTGGCCGAAGAACACACTTGGCGAAGACGTCAACACGCGGCTCAGCGCAGCGCTCAAGGCGCTCGGATGATCAAGTGATGCACATCTTCAGTGTGCCGTTGAGAAACTACCATGGAGCCAGAGGGCTCCTTAGATACCCCCCCTCGCCGCTCTGCGACTACAATGCTACAAAGGAACCTTCCGAGACTTCGGTCAGCAACTACGCTTCCTCTTCGTCAACTCTCGTGTGTGTCAGTACAAGGTATCCTCAATATGGTACAAAAGAACTCCGGCCCTAGGGGAGGAAAAGAAAAAGTAAACCACGCCATCGAGTGAGGCGTTCCCCGTCGTTTTTCCACGTCACAAAAACAAATGTTGTACAATCCTTTGCAATAACTCAAGGGGTAAACATAGACGAAGACGAAGAGGAAAAAAAAAAGACAAATTGAAGCAAACCATCAACGCCCATGCGTCAGAAAACCATGTCTACTGCTTTTATCTTCGCCAGTGTTCGTAAGTGATCCGCTTCGTCAAGTCGTGATTGTTGAGTGTTGTATGTTCGCACATCAAGGCGCGTCTGTGGCTTCGAGGCCAGTGTGCTGTGACGCTCGCGACGCGACGCCGCGCGGTGTCGTCTCATTATCGGTCGACTCGCCCTCTTCAATGATCTGCTCTTCGACCCGCTCACCGGGGCCGCTAACAACGGGCGTAAAATTCTCCACTTCCTCAATGTAATCGTCGCCCGTCTCGTCGTCCTCTTCTTCTTCCTGAATAGTGATCTCGCCAGATCGTCGTCCCAGGCCAGAGGCGCTGGCGCTTCGCGAATGGGAGCCAGAGCCGGTGCTACGAGCACTGCTGCCGCCACCATTAAGAGATAACATGGGCCCTTTGAAGAGGCTGCGCTTCCGCTTGGCAAAAAGAACACCGCCAGCGCCAAAGGGGTTCGGCGAGCCTGGTGCTTGATGGTCGGTGGAGGAGGATGGCATGCCCTCGTTGAAAACAGAAATCGGGGCGGGCGGTCCAGAGCCCCTGACGAGGCGGAGGCTCGACGGGAAGGACGAGGTGGTTGGAGTCGCAGGCAGGACCTTGACCGAGTGGTGGGGCGAGTGACCCCGTTGAAGAGGGGTTTTCACGCCAGACATTGAGCCGTTTGAGCTCGTAGATGACGCTTTGGAGTGTGTGTGGTGGTGGTGGTGCATGGAGCGTATGGAGGACACGGAAGAGGAGGTTGACTTGCGCCCACGCAGTCCCGCGGAGGATCGGCGCATGGTAGACCGGGGCGTCAGAGGCGATGGAGACAGCGACTGACGCTTGTAGGAGTTACTGGTCGTAATCCTCGGCGGTCCATGCGACCCCGAAACCGAGGCCGGTGCCCGCGTAGGGCTATGAAGGCCACCTCCCATCGGAGCCGGCGGCATCGCCTTGGCTATGTGGCCATTAGCCACGACGCCTTTGGGCAGCGAGGCTTTTGCCCTAGGAATCCCCGAATCAATGGTGGGGTATTTGCTCGTTTGCGGACGTGGGCTGGGCTCTTTCGAGTGCTTGCTCCCGTTCACGCTACCATTTTTATCGACGAGATTCGGCGTCGAATGGCTTCCTCTCTTGTTTGCATGCCTGTGCCTGCGTGTGTTTTCATAGAACCAGTGCGTCCAGTTCTTCCACGTAGCCACGATCGCCTGCGATGGCCTTTTGCGCACCTTTTGCGGCTCGGTATCCTGCTCAGTTGAGCCTGGGCCATTCGAAGACAGGGCCTCGGTCGTTGTGACGAGGTGAAGCGTGGATCCCCTGGATCTCGCACTGCGTATGACACCCTCTTTTGGAGGCGGGATCGGGCGCCTGTGTCTTGACGTGCTGGCGGATCGGATAGAGTCTTTGTCGACAGGCCGCGGTGGCACATCCGGGCTGGACCCACCGCTTTCCTTACCATGTTCGGGCAGCCCAGGCAGCTCAAAGTCGGTGTAATGCGCGCTGCGACGTTCGGTTCTACCGCGTGTTCTAGGCAGCGGCTGCTCCCCCAGCCTCATCATGCCGCTGGTGAAGCCCCCATCTTCGTCAACCTCGGGCAATACTGGCGCCATGCGTTCGAGCCTGCTGGAGGCGGCGGAAAGACGGCGCAGACTCCTGTTCTCGACGTCTCGCTCCCGTCGCTTCTGTTCCTTCCTCCTCAGCTTCTTCTCCTCCTTCTCGATGAGCAAGGACCACCAGCCAGCCAGCGCATCGCAACGCTGGGCCACAACGCTCTCGATGACAGCATCAATGTTCACGCCAGCGCCCTTCATGCGGTGAAGCGTCTCCTTCTCCAAGTGAGTCGAGAACGTGGGTGGGGCCTGGCTCTGCAGAATGGCTTGCTGGGAAGCTGCATATTCGGACAAGAATGGATGCGCCAGAATATCTGGCAATGAGGGTCGTAACAGCGTCCGCTTCGAAAGGAGCGACTTCATCAGAGATACCGCGTCGTCAGGTAGGTGTTCCGGGAACTTGGGGTCTTCCGTGAGAATCTTGTTTCGAGTGACCGCGTCGTCGTCGTCGTCGAACGGCAGTTCACCGCACAACAGAGCGTACAGAATGACTCCCAGACTCCAGACATCGACCTTTTCGCCGGCGTACTTTTCCGCCTTGAGCATTTCCGGTGCCGAGTAGCAGATGGTACCGCAAAATGTCTGCAGGTAGTTGGCCTTGCCCTCATACTCGCGCGTGAAGCCAAAGTCGACAAGCTTGACGTTTTCATTCTTATCGAGCAGGATATTCTCGAGCTTGAGATCGCGATGCACGCAGCTCTGTTGGTGCACATAGGAGACGGCGCCGACAAGCTGCGCAAAGATCTTTTGCACTTTATAGACGGGGAGGGCCCCTTGAGACAGGAGGTAGTTGTATAGTTCATCGCCTGTGGGTCTTGCATTAGCGGTCTGTGTGTATTCCCGGCTTGCTGTTTCTCTCTCGCGCGCGCCTACCAGGGCAGTATTCCAGTACGAGCCAGACCAGGTTCTCGGTGACGATGACTTCGTAGAGCCGCGCAATATGAGGGTGGATGAACTGGCGGTGATGATGAATCTCGCGGGCCAGGTTGGAATCAGTTTTGTTGGCAGACTTGAGGACAACCTGCACAGAGTAAGCAAGAAGCCAGAAGAGGTCGAGATTTCGTGAAGGGCGTGGTTGGGAATCGGACCTTGGAGTTGTTGATAAGCTTGTGGCTGGCGAGGTAGACCTTGCCGAAGGAGCCCTTGCCAATAAGGCGTCCCAGGGTGTAGTTGCCAACGGACTTTAGGTCTTTGTTCGCGAATTCACTGCCACGCGTTAGAATAGACCTAAAGCCAGGTACAGTAAGGGTCGCGCGCGCGAGAGGGGACCTACTCGAGAAGCTCTTGGTAGGAATTGGCAAGCTGCGCACTTGGTCAGCAAGGTCATGCCAGGCGGCGATGCCGGTTGGGTATGCGCAAGGCGGGGAGGACAATCCCAAAACAATGGTACGGACCTTGGCCTTGCGACCCAGCAGGTCGGCCTTGCCTCGTACCATCTGCATGCCGCCGCGAGCACAGGATGGAGGGTCCGGATGGAGGAGACCAGGTTAGGCGTGCGTGGGACCGAAAACGGCGTGGTGGAGATGGCGATCGCAAAGAGTCAAGCACGGTCGGTGAGCCAGCGAAGGCGATTTCGGGTCGCGGCAGTTCATCGAGGGGTTCGTCGGACAGATGAGGCGGGTTGCGGCGCGCAAGAATTGGGAAGTCGACGTTGCAGAAGGTTTGGCGAGAATCGGGAATCGGGGAAGACACGACTTGGCTGGGCTGAGGGGGCAGGCGGTGTGTGGTCGCGAAAGTCGATGGGCGATCTTTGGAGATTTGGTTTCGCGTGCCTGAGGCGAGGCCAGGCGAACGAGCTCTCGGTGCAACTGTCGTTCAATTGCCAGTTGGAACCAACAACTTTCAGGGCCAACGACGGGACGCTGGCACGGTGGCACGGGGGTGTGCGTGTGGTGGGTCTCGAAAACGGGGCGTGGGATGATGTGGGGACGCTGGTGGTGACTGTGCAAAGCTGTGGAAATTGAATGAAGCGGGGGGGAGGATGGTAGGACGGATGTTCAGGATGTATGTAGACTTGGCACTGACAGATGGTCTGATCATCTGTTCGGCGAGATGCATGTCCCCTCATGTTGTAGCAAGCCCTGCAGCATGATGCAACTCTTGGGTCACAACTTCACGACACAAACAATGCCTTCTCGATCAATTCTTGTTGCATCCCCTGTCGAGAGGCTCGCTCAACAGCTGCACCAAGAGAGTCTAGATCCAGGCACTCTTTTGGTGGAGATCTCAATATGCCAAGGCGCCATCACATGACAACCGAGTGATCTCATTGTACGGTCTGCGGGTCGTCACCAACACGCTCAAACCTTCGTTAGCACTCCCATGCCCGGAACGTTAAGTTTGCCATGGCCACTTTGATTCTGATTTGCAGGATGGACAAATAGAGTAGCCAGGGACCACCCAGTGGGCGCTCAATAGCTACGTGCTTGAGGTCCAACTGTTTGACGTCCAGTTGCTCCAGGTCGATCCAAGTCGAAAGCCGCCATGCGTTTCGAAAGCTTCCAGAAGCCGTCCATCAAGCCATGCTTGCGAATGCCTCTACACTGAGCCCAGACATTGACATGCGACTCTTGTGACGGTGTGAGCGTGAGTGAGTTCCGTCTCAGAGATGCAATTTCAGGTCGCAAGGTCGCACCGCAGCGGGAAGGGCGCAGGGGGAGAGAAAGAGAGAGCCAAGAGAGCCTGCGCGTCACAGCATCAGGAAGCGGGATGACCTCATCGAGCTTATGTAATGCGCAATCGCCAGGTGGGAGCTCAAGCCCACACTGCACAAGGAGCTCCAGACCTCCTCCTGCGCAGTGCTTCCCAGACGAGGTATCTTTTCGCCAGCTTCGAGCTTCAATTGCGCTCCCCCCAAAGCCATGCTTCTCACCCGACTTCTCGGCGTTGCCGCCCTCGCGCGGTGTGCTGCCAGTTCCAGCGATGCTCAGCTGCCCTTGGGTGACTCGGCCACAGCTCCGAGCTCGAAATACCCGACAGAAGCCGACGACGATGCGCCTGCTTGGCGCAACTCGTTCCTCGACCTGCACCGTTCCATTGTCGAGATTTCCTCCATTTCCGGCACCGAAGCCGACGTCGGCCAATACCTATTTGACTATCTCCTACAAAAGGGCTACTCGGTCGAGAAGCAGAAGGTCCAGTCCAGGAAAAACACGGACAAATCCAAGGGTCGTTTCAACGTGCTGGCATGGAGAGGCGACTCACGGACGCTGCAGTCCAAAGTCCTCGTGACGTCGCACATTGATGTCGTGCCGCCGCATATCCCCTACGGAATCGAGGACGGCAAAGTGAACAAGGACACGAAGATCTGGGGTCGCGGCAGCGTCGACGCCAAGGCCAGTGTCGTTGCGCAGATCCAGGCCCTTGAGAATCTGCTCAAGGAGGGCAAGGTCGAGGAAGATGATGTGTCATTGCTGTTCGTCGTCGGCGAGGAAGACCAGGGCGACGGCATGCATACGTTCTCCGAATCTCTCCTCGAAGCGAACCCCCCTCAAAGCTTTAATGCCGTCATCTTCGGAGAGCCCACCGAGAACAAGTTGGCGTGCGGCCACAAGGGTGGCGTCTTTGGCAACATCACGGCAAAGGGTGTTGCTGGCCATTCGGGGTACCCCTGGCTCGGAAAATCTGCCAACAATCTCATGATCCGGGCTTTGGCCAGGGTTCTGGAGACTGACCTCGGTAGCGACGAGACGTTTGGAAACACAACGGTCAATATTGGCCGATTCGACGGCGGTGTCGCGGCCAACGTCATCCCCGACCATGCATTCGTCGGGATTGCTGTCCGCGTAGCCATTGGTCCCCAGAAGACTGGCGGAGACATTGTCCAGGCTCGTATTCAGGCCATCCTAGATGAGGTCGACGAGGATGCTTTTACTATGACCATCTCGCACAACTACGGCGTTGTGGAAGCCAACTGTGAAGTGAATGGTGCGTGCTTGTCCATTTGAAATAACCTGCATGAGACTGACAGCATCAGGTTTTGAGACGGCCGTTATGAACTACGGGACGGACATTCCCAACCTCAAAGGCAACCACACGCGGTACTTGTACGGGCCTGGAAGTATACTGGTCGCTCACGGCGACAATGAGAGCCTTACAGTTGGTGACCTGGAGACGGCTGTTGACGGGTTTGAAAGGCTCATTCTCCACACTTTGAAAGAGTCGTCTTGATTGAATTAAGATAGCTCTCCTTCCTGCCGCTGATGAGGTTCCTGACCGCTCGTTTGCCTGTCCTCTACTGCTGTCCTACCAAGCGAGCCCACCTCTCAGGCATGACGTGGCTGAAGTCAAACTCTCCGTTGGCCCCCTTAACAACGGCACCCTTCTCTGTGACGACGGCATCGATCAAGTCATGCGGCGTCACGTCGAACGCCGGGTTCCAGACGTCGATCCGCTGATCAGCCGTAGCCACGCGCACAGTCTTGGCGACATCGACACTTCCATCCGGTCCAACAGTGGCGCCAGAAATCTGGGTCAGCTCCTCCTTTTTCCTCTGCTCAATGTGGATGCCCTCGCCCGTCACGGTCTCCAGGTCAATGCTCGTCGTGGGGGCTGCGACGATGAACTTGATGCCGTGATGCTTCGCCAAGACGGCGAGCTGGTAGGTCCCAATCTTATTCGCCGTGTCGCCGTTCCTCACAACACGATCGGCGCCGACAATGACGGCAGAAATGTTCATCTTCTCCTTCTTTAGGCGGAATAGGGCGGCGGCCATGGAGTCCGTGATCAGCGTGCTCGGGATCTTCTCAAAGACCAGCTCGAAAGCCGTCAGACGGCTGCCTTGGTTGTACGGTCTCGTTTCCGTGCAATAGGCGTGGTTGAGCCAACCCCTCGACTGGAGCGTCCTGATGATGCCGAGCGCCGTACCATGGCCAGAGGTGGCGAGCGAGCCGGTGTTGCAGTGTGTCAGGACGGAGATCTTGCCGTCAGGACCAGCCTGCGCCACGTCCTTCAGCCAGTCGGCGCCGTGGTCGCCAATGGACAGATTGGTCTTGAGGTCCTTCTCCAGAATCTTCTCCGCCTCCTCAATGTACGCCTTGATAATGGCATCGCGGTCCTGTCCCGCAAGCTCCTGCGTCCTCGCCTTGAGCTGGTTGATGGCGTTGGTCAGATCGACGGCTGTTGGCCTGCTCTCCTTAAGGTAATCCAGACGGCCGTGAATGTAAGAAATGACTTCGTCGGATGAAGTGGCTTGACAGCTGCCGTTGTGCAGCTCCACGGCATGGGCTAGGCTGGCAACAATGGCGATGGCTGGCGCACCACGGACCCTCATAGACCTGATGCAGTCGAAGGCCTCCTCACTCGTAGAGACATTGTCGTAGTGAAACTCATGAGGGAGTCGAAGCTGGTCTAACACCTCGAGGCTACCCCGACTATATCTGACAGCTTGAAGGGTCGACATGGTTCTTGTTCTTGGCTTTCACGCTGGCAGATAGTCAAGACGCGATGATGAGTTGGGGCGTTTAGAATGAGATGAACGAGACCTTTGCCGATACTTGACCCAGACTAGCTGTCGCGCAATTGTTTGCCCCTCCATGAAAAGTTCTGCCGTGCCCCTCTACAAGCTACGACATCATCGGCCAATCGATTCGGCAGGTGGCGGCTCACCGCCTATGACAAAGTCCTCGGCCCTGAAGCTGCCACAGCCAGGGGCGCCTGGCCCCTGTCCCCTTACGCACGGACCCATCTTCCCCGTGTTGCCTCAGCGAGCAAGTGGTAGGTAGCGAAGCTTCAACATTGCCTCTGGTGTTCGAGACAAGCTTTAACATCACGACTGTGCGCGCTTTGTACTGCTTGGCTTATATGACTTGATGCGAACACGATGATACGATCAACATAATGGAACACCCCTTCTCGACATCCAAAGTCACCGGTATGGCCCCAACCTCTAGCTGTTACCAAGCAAAGCCCCGTCGTTGATCTGACCGCCCGTTCTGTAGTCGAGTACTTCGATCCCCATGGCGTCTACAAACTCCTAGGCCCTGGCCTCGTGCCCCGACTTCCTCTCCGAAACCTCCATTGGCAATCGCATGCCGGACCTCTTCGATCAATTGATGTGTTGTTCGTCGAGCTCGTCGACACTGGTGCCGACCCAGCTGCTGCTGCGCCTCGTGCCACCCTGAGACGTTCGGTCAGCGCAGGCGTGCAAGACGATGGCTTCCAGACCCAGCAGCTTGGTCGCAAGAGTGCATCGACCGACAACATCGAGGCACCGGCGGCGGCGGCGCAGCAGCCTGGAAAGGAGCGGCGGCACCAGATTCCCGGTCTGCGACGAACCCCCTATCTCAAGGTCCTGCTAGTGCGATGCGACGACAACGACACATACAAGGCCACGACGCGCGCCGAAATTCGCGACTGGATCAAGCTACATACGCCACCTTCCCAGAGCACACGCAAGGCGAACAACCAGGAAAACCACGATGCCTTTGAGTGGCTCATTGTGCATGTGGTCGTTCCCAACACCGTCGCCGCGACCCAGCCCAGGACGAGCGGCAAAAGCGCCGAGGGCGCCAGCAGCGACAAGACTGCCTCTTCGAGATGGAGGACGGGGTCGTCCACGTTGCTGGAGAAGATGCGCGCCGACTTCAACGTCACTGGTAAGGGTGCCGTGGATAGGATTGCCCAGATCAGGATCGGCATCAATGATGTGCCGTACGATATCCTGCCTCGCGTCGTACCAGCCACCCCAACCGGATATTCGGAGACCGAGAAAGACGCAGAGGTTGCCTGGCAGGAGTTGCTGTCGAAGATCAAGGGCTTGATCCTGGCGTCGTTCGACATGCGCGTCACTCAGTACGAAGATGACATTCGTGAAAAAGATGCGCAACGTCTGTTACCAGGTTGGAACTTTTGCACATTTTTCATCCTCAAGGAAGGCTTGGCGCGAGGGTTCGAGAGCGTCGGGCTTATTGAGGATGCGCTCGTTGGCTATGACGAACTCAGTGTTGGCCTTGACTCGGTTATACACGAACAGGTCGCCACGGGAGACGCGGAGCGAAACGGCGGTGCGCTTCTGGGGTATACTGCCGAGTTGAAGAAGCAGGCTGAACAGGCTGTTGCGGCAGCAACCGGCGCCGGAAACCTCGAAGACGAAGAATCCGTTGACCTGCAGTCCAAGGAGCTTCCTGCTGCCAGCCACTTTGACGAGATTCCCATCAGCTCCACAAAGAAGCTTTATCGCGACATGATTGTAGCCAACAACGTCTCGGTGTTCGATTTTCGTTGTTACATCTTCGGCCGCCAGCTGGCGCTGTTGTTGCGCTCGGGCAACGCATGGTCCTCCAGAGAGGAACTCCTGGTGAAGCTCAAGGAACAGCAAGAATCAGTGTTGCATGGCGTTGCACCACAGGCGCCAGCACCCAAACAAGCGGAGGATGCAGAGAACCTCACCATGTTGGCCGAGATTTGTCGAAGGACCCTACAGTTCATCCCCGCCATATCACAGATCATGCGAGCAGACATCACGTCAGCTGTTTCACAGTCTCGCAGCGATTCAGCTGATCACTCTGTAAGCCCTGTGGTAACAGAGGTCATTGACAATCTTGTCGCATCCTTTGCCTTCTCGGTGGCTCAGCAAATCCTGGCGCAGACGTCAACCAAGTCCCTCCCCATTCCGCCATCCCTATTAATCACCCCCGAAATTCATGAGCCCAAGGTTTCCATCCCCGAGCCCAAGACCATGATGCACCCCGCCCGAACAACCTCTTTGAGTGTGCGAACCACTACGGCAGCTCCCCACAGCCCAGGAATATTCCCTGGTCCGGGAGCCGGCCAGAGAGCCAGTGCTTCCGAGAGCATGTCTGTTGCGCCGACTAATCAGTTTCTCAAGAATGGCCTCGAAGACCTCGCGGCCAGGCGGGCCGAGCTCTACAATCTCTCTCGTAATGTGCTAGAAGAGTGCGGCAAGAAGCGCGGCTGGGGTGATGGCTGGGCTTCTGTGCCCGACGTCGAAAACTCTGGCAATGAGACGATGGAGGACATTAGTCTTGACGATAATGAACCTCCGACGAAGAAGGCACAGGCTGAGGTCCCTCAGCAACCTCTGCTGTCTGGTATAGAGGGCCGTCTTCTTCAGGCAGCGCTCGACAACCAAGGCGATTTTTACCGTCTCTACGAGACCCTGACGGACAAGGCCCTACGGCATTACACCGTTGCCGACCATAACTATGCCGTTCAAGCCAGCATGACTGACCTCGCGGTTCTCAAATACCACCTCGGAGACTACTCAGCGGCGGCCTCTTATTTCTACCGAGTGACGCCGTTCTACGGGGAAACTGGCTGGAGTGTGTTGGAGCTGTCCATGCTCGTCATGTACGCGCACTGTCTACATGAGCTACAACGCAAGGACGAATACGTTCGTGTGGTACTGAAGCTGCTCACAAAAGCTGCTGCCGCTGAGAAAGACCGACTTGCGCGCCGAAAGGGATTCCGACTTGGCGCTGGACATGACGTGGAGCATGCCTCTTTCGCTGCCATTCGGGGGTTTGTTGGCAAACTTCTGGCTGTGACCAAGACATTTTCCAACGAGGTTCCTGTCCCTCTGGGACATGTGTTCACTAATCCTCAGTTAGACGAGTCCCCCGAGTATGACGTTGGGCTCGACAGCTTCTCTTTGACGATCAAACTGAGTAGCTTGCTGGTGGATGACTTAACGATCGAGACTGCGCGCATGCGTCTGACAAGTTCTGACCCCGGTGTTCCGAAAGAGCTGTGGCTGGAGAGCACAACTCCTCAAGTGCTCAAGCGAGGCGAGAGCACCATTCGCCTGCATAGCAAGGTAAGTCTTTATCCTCTCTCGACCTCGCATGATGGCTAATCATGGCTTCAAGACAAGCGTGTCCGGACGTTATGACGTTGACCGCCTGAGTCTGACCTCCAGTAATATCCATCTCCACTACGAACGCGACATTGATCACGACTCCTCGAAAGGAGCTGAAGCCTTCTTTCTTCCCAAGGTCACAGTGTGCCGCCAAGAAGGCGGGTTGGATTGTCAACTCACTGCAGCGCGCCACACACAGCTAGACCGCAACAACTGTCTCGATCTGAAGCTTCTTACTGGTTGGAATAACGTCACGTCTTGCGAGATACGAGTGAGACCCAGCACTGGTGGACTTCGTCTCTTGTCTACAGAGGCCCAATTCATCGGGCCTAATTTCGAATTCGCAGGTGCG